TCGACTACCAAATTTCTTGCGCCACCTAAGGCGGTGGGTAACACACCATTGTCTTGCGGAACTTTCCACACATTCCTAGCATTCTGCTCCAAAGATGTGCAGCTGGGACTAGGCAAGATGCAATGGTGTTCGCGCTCAACATACCAATCATGAAAATTGTTGGTATTGGCAGTTGCTTGGATGAACCCCGAACTTCTCATTTGTTGTATATTAATGAATAGATCCTTATCGGTCCCAACTTGAGTACAGGTGGGAAAGAAGCGTTTATACTTAAGCTTCTTAGCAATCCTAGTTATCATCCCACCAAGGGCGATTTCACCCATCTTGTTGCCCGATTTGATTGCTTCACAGCACACGACGAACTAATACCCCATGTTGAGCCGCCCTTTCAATTCCTCTCTAGTTGCAACCCGTAGAGTAAAGAACTCTTCATGTGAGAGCTTGCTCAAATCTTGCTTACTAAACACCGCATACCCCAAGATGCGGTGAAGGATACGGAGAGCAGGGTGGATGATTTGGCTTGCCACTGAATACCTTGTATTGAACTCGTCGAAATCAGTAATCGTTCGCCACTAACGGAATGCATCATACTCGGGAAAAGGCTTAAGGATGGGGCAAGGAGATCCGCATCGGGGTTGAAGTCCAACAAGGCATTGAGATCACGAAGATTCGTGGTATGTTGGTTGTTGAATAATTGGTAAGAAATTTGGAATTCATTGTTCCCATATGGTTCTTTTTCGAAGGAGGCTAGGAATTCAAAAGTGTGTTTTTTGTATGTTCGATGATGGTGGTTAATGAACTCACTCATCCCAAGGTTGTAGGAGTGACCTTAGGTCTTTATCTATCCCCAAAGCCCTCATAGAGCGAGGATTATAGTGCCTCGTGGGATTAAGCTTTCGGCTTTGAAGGTCTTTGTAGAAAGTAGAATGGAGCTTGTTAAAGAATTTCGTTCGTGGGGGAACATTGGGTGCCTGGGTTTGAGCTTGAGCACTAGGCTCCTCGACTCCCAACCGGGGCTCCTTTCTACTCTTTCTTTTACTCATTGCAGCCTCAAGCAATACAAATATCTCAAAGAACACACCGACAACCAAACCCAAGTAGGAACTCACTTCGAACTCAACCAAATTTGAACCACAACAACAACAAACTGAGCTTTAACAATCTGCAAAAGGTTAGTAGCAACAACTAACCACACAATAATAGCTCCAAGAAAAATTAGGATCAACAACAATGCACACAATCACAACATATTATGATAATAAGCAATTTTCATGTAAATAGTCGCATGATCATCAATACTAACAATAACACAAAATTACTCAAATAAGTTCCATAAAAATAGCTTCAAAATCAATAATGCCAACAACAACGTTCCACAATCACAAAATATCGCACTAAAGTCCAACCAATCCTTAGCAAAGAAATCCAAAATCACATAAAACTCACTTGAGCTAAACCATGCTTAATAACTCAAAACTTTGCATAAACTTGTGAAAATAAGCAATAAAGTAGCGAAATTTAGAGTTATACCACTAAGGAGAAGCTTGAACACCACCGAACACCCAAGACTACCACCTTCAACCGAGCTTGCACAACCATGAAAATGGAGGAAATTTGGGTATTTTGGAGAGAGAAAGTGGGTAAATTTGTGAGTAAAGTGAAAAAGTATGATGGATTTGATGGAAAATCAAGGGAATTTGTGAGTTATGGGTGAATTTGAAGGGTTAGGGTTTGAGTTTGTGAGGAGAGAGAAGAGAGCACGAAAATTTGATTGGAGAATGTGAGGGTGAAATGGGGAAGAAAAGCTTTAGCTCCGATTTACCCAGCTGTGCGCGCCCGCGCACTCACTCTGTGGCCCGCACACGGGTCGCGCAAAGTTTCTGCCTTAAATCTTCAATTTCGACCAATTATGTGCGGGTTCTGACAGGGCTAGGATGCCGCCCGCGCAGTAGTCGCGCAGAACAACTTAGCTCCTTGAAGTCCTCCCTCTTTCGGCATATGATACCTACAAAACATAAGCATGAGAATCAAAATAAAGAGTAGGCAAAAATCTAGGAAAAAGGAAGATAAAAGAGAAGAGAATTAAGTGCAAGGAAAATGATGCAAACAAGCCGCAAATGTGGGAAAATAGCCATTAAAATGAACCTTAATCGTGGCATAAATGCCACCCATCAACTTCCCCCACACTTGCCTCTTGCTTGTCCTCAAGCAAGGAAAATCAAAACAAAAAGACGAACACAACAAACATAACATGACAAGGTTTAAGAAAACCATTCAAGCTCTTAGGTAGAAAATGCTCCATTTGGACTCAAATGAAGAGATATGCACCAAAGAATACTCATCTTTCTTAATTCAATGAGGGAAAACACGTTCTAAGATGCTCATGGTTGAAAGAGACAAACCTAAGCTAAGCATAGAGAACTAGTGATTTCACTCTCCGCCCTAGCCCCATCCAAGACGGTCCACGTTCTCTCCACTAGCTTCAAGTCACCTCTTAGTTAGCTCCTCATGATTCCTCGACGGAACCGGAAAAACAAGTATTTGTATAGAACCATAAGGTCACCCCGACATCTCGACTATGCATACTCTCTCCATAGGGTTGAAGTCCATCTCCCTCCACCGGTCGTTGACCTCGCCGCATTAAAGTCCAAGGGTCTTTAGGGTTGTAATGTCATGGCTAAGGGTAAAGGTTGGGAATCAATTTGAAAATTTGGTAGCAATTCCTAATATGAACTTTGGAGAACTCCACCTACTTGCAAATTTGATTTATTTAATTATAACAATTCATTAGGTTACTGAAGGTCTGTGTAAGGAGAGCAGGTGGATTTATTAGATAAATATAGAAAGCTTCTAGTTACATATTTCAACTGATGATCAGGGTGTTGAAATGATAAAGAGAAGGGATAGATTATATGATTTATTGGATTAATAGTGGAAGTTTCCAGTTGTTACATTTTTTAAATGTTGATACTTTTTATGTGCTGATCAATTGCCCCAGTCAAGACTGCAATTTTTACAGAATGGGTGGTCCCTCATTTCAGGGCAACTCAAAATAAAGTTCTGGCTCTAATTCTTATGCAAATGTTTAGCAAAGTTAATGAATTGAGCTAGCCTCACATCAGCACTCTAGATTCTCATCTTTCTGTAAAGTGACCAATTTGGAATTTGCTCTACTTAAAGGTTGATGTTGAGGACCTTGGGTTAGCTGGAGTGTAAAGAGTTTATAGTTATACGGTGGATGTAGATTGGATGGTGCTCATTGTCTGATTGCCTTTTGATCTAGTCAATGTGTGGCCTTTTGTTTGTATCCATCCAATTGTACACCTAAGATATGATTTGCACGAAAATGGAGGGCAGTGTGTTATTATATCTCTTTTTATTTTTCCTTTGGTGGTTATTCCTTTTAGCCATCTCTTTATTAAGGGATAATATGTGAGTCTTAAGGTTGGTTGGGTGAGGAGTCTGTTGCCTATTTACAAGGCACTACTGTTTTGCTCTTTGTTGATCTAGCTTCAGTTTAATAATGTTATTGCTGTTGTTTATTAATTTTTTATTTCTTTACCGAGTCTTAGAAACAGGTATAGCCATATAGGTATAGTCTGGTATTCAGAGTAATATATAAGAGCCACTTGTGGGTACACTTGCCTCCCATTTCAATCTTGGAATTTTATATCCCATGTTCCTCATTTTAAATCCCATATCAAATTTTGCACTTTAGAGGAATCCTAGTTTGTGGGAATTCATCTTCCAATATGCTTCTGATGTCTTATTATTTCTGTAGCTCACACAATATTTCAAATGTTGAATTCTGGGGTAGTGAGGGTCTTGTCGTCCTATGGAACTTTCATTTTGAGTAGAAGCCTAAATTTTGGGGTGACAGGTTTGCTGGGTTTGTTAGAGGATGCCTCCTTCGCTATCCTGGCCTGTTTTTTTTTTTATCCATTTTCTTTTTTAGGAAGTAATATATTATCAAAATTATGCAAGTTATGGTTTTAAGGGGAGAAAAAAAAAAAAATCTGGGCTTCCATGCTTGGATGGATTCAACATTGTTGATAATCATAAAAAAAAGGGTTCAACATTCTTGTGCCTTGGTTGTGAGGAGCCTGGAATTTATAACTTTTTGCTTGTTGATTGGCTCTTATTTGTGGATCAAGTCAGATTAGTCTTGAGAGACATAGGCTTAATAAGACTTCATGGCAGGTATCTTGCATGTCTATCCCTTGGTTTTATTGATGGAAAGGAATGAGTTGCTTTTCCAGAGTATGGTTTCTAGTTGGGAGATTTTGTGGGATATAGTGTTGTTTTTTTTTTTTTATTTGTGGTCCTTTTCTGGCGTATCTTTAGCAGATATTCCTTTGGATTGGCACACTACATGAATTTTTAGAGGACCCTGGTCCCCTTAGTTTTGTATCCATCACCTCTTACAGTAATACAGTATTTCTTTCTCCTGTAAACACACTAGCACATATCTGTTTGTATGTATGACACATGCTGCATGCATGAGAATTTGACTAAGCAATATGTAGATTTGTATTGTTTAGCAGATATTCATTTAGACTAGCACAACTAGTCTTAAGGAAGTCTAGCTTTTACGAGTTCACTTTTGCACCTTTGGTACTATTAAATCCCATTTTGCAACCCTTTAGGGCTTTAAGGATTCCCATCATTCAGATATATTGGTGTGTGAATCCTCTGAAATTTGGCATGCTGCACACGCCCTTGATGGATTCCAACAATGTAATTATTTATTTATCTTAACCAAAAGTTGCACAAGAGTAGCATATGTAGAATTGTAGACACATGCAAACCCTAATACACTCATTCACTGATTTGCAGCCTCTTTTTTATTCAGTGCCACACATCTGGATTTCAGTGACATATTTTCAACTCACAATTAAATTTCTGTTCAACGTCTTTGACTGTCTAAAATGATATATTTTCTTTTTCTGATGAAAATTGTCTAAAATGAATTTACCTACTATATGTCTAATGCTGTCCAGGCCTTAGCTCAGGATCAGTTGCGAGCATTGCTGTCTATGACTGAAAATTTTGAAAATGTCAATATTGGAGTTTATGATGGTGACACTTCTCAAAAAGATAGGAATCAGCTTCGTGACAGCGCTAGACTGGTACTGTAGTATTTCCTGCGTCTCATGTTAGTTGACACGTTTTGACTTTGGACACTTTTTCATAAATTACTTTCACTTCCGTTTGTGATTTATACCTAAAAAGATACACTGTCATGTGGGGTCTTGTTGGATACGTCTCAATGTATATCATTCATATATACTCTTTTTTATACTTATTTCTTATTAATAATTGAAGATATTATCGTTTAATCATGAATTGGCAAATATTCCTAAACAAATGTGTCAACTAAAAATAAACGGAGGAAGTAATTATCAACTTTGTAAGATTGTGGATGCTACTCTCACCATGCTGTCGTGCCTAATTGAGGTCAATAGTTTTCTTTCCTTTCTACAGCTGATCACCAATCCAGATATGCTGCATATGTCAATCTTGCCATATCATGGACAGTTTCAGCGAATTTTATCTAATCTCAAGTAAGGAGTAAATCTTGTTGATTGTTGTTCTTTATCATCTAGTTATTTCTGTAATTTTCTTTTGCTTATCTTTATACTGGTGCATTTAACTTATATGTATATATATATATATATATATATATATATATATATATATATATATATATATATATATATATATATATATATATATATATATATATATATATATATATATATTTTGACGGGATTACACTTTTATATATGGATGTTGAAAGTATATGTTATAAATTCTCTAAAGCTGTGATTTCTGTTTAATCAAACAGGTATGTAGTCTTTGATGAAGCACATGCTTATAAGGGAGCATTTGGATGCCATACTTCCCTTATATTGAGGAGACTACGCCGGTTATGTTCTCATGGTATGTATATGTTTGCATACATTGTTTTTAATGCCAAATTATCATTTTCTTAATCTTATTAAGTCAAGTGCTGACTTTTATATTAATTAGTAAATTTATTGATTTGAGCTTTATAATCAACTTTGGTGCAAGACAGCAAGAGTATTTTTGTATTTTAGAGTAGCTTTAGTTTCTAAGTGTATAGAAAATTGAAATAGATGAGCTCTGTATATAGAGCTTTCCAATTTATAGGGTTCCGACCTCCAAGTAGCTACCTTGTTGGGTTTTTTGGCCATCAGCCATATACGTAGCCCAACTTTCTTTCATAGGGCTTCAAGGCCAAATTTATTTTTAAAGCCCAAATTAATTAATTTTGATTGTTTTTTTCTTTTATAAAAGCCATTAATTGACTTTACTGGATTAAAAGAAGAGGATGTGCCCACATAATAAATATATTATGTCTACAATTTCATTTAGGTATCTATCATGAATTCCGAGTGATGTCTACTAATGTGTCCCATGCCCTCGGTTTAAAGCTCCTTTATGGCATTAGTAATTTAGTATGCATAGTATCCTATTCTCAGTTGGTGTAGGTCTGTAAGAGCATCAATAGTAATCCAGATATGCCTTCCTCATGCAGTGTATGGCTCTGAACCTTCTTTTATCTTTTCTACTGCAACTTCTGCCAACCCCCGTGAGCATGCAATGGTAATTTTATCTTTAACTTGTTGGGTTCTATCAATCTGGCTGTATATTTATTCAGTTGTCAATGATCTTTTCCCTTTTATGAGAATGAGCTGGTTAGCTTGTTTTTCTCCATTCAGGAACTTGCAAATTTACCAACAATGGAGCTGATTGAAAAAGATGGAAGTCCGTCCGCTCCAAAGTCCTTTATTCTTTGGAATCCACCTTTGTTACCAAAAACAGTGGGTGCTTTATGGTTCTTTGATATTTTTATGTAGTGGGTAACTTTGTGATATGATGTTGATCATATACTTCTGAAATCCAGGTGCAGCGAACTGGCACAAGAATCAAAACCATTGTCACAAAGAGGTCTAGGTAAAATTTATCTTCATTTATAGGAAGCTAGGTATATAGTGTTCATTGTCCTAAGAAATGTTTGACATGGATTCAACATAGTGTCTTTTAACCACATTTTAAGACCTGTTATGGGCATGGCTGCAAGTTTTAGCTTTATTGTAGCTCTTACTTGTTGGATTAGACCTTAGACAGCAAACAAGAAACTTTTCTCTTACATGCGGAGTATTAGTTCTTTATTCCTGTTCCTCCCTGTATACTGTATAGCTTAACCTACTCTCAAAACTAAGAAGTTAGGTATTAACCCTTTACTAATTTCACACTGATCTTGAACGCTATATACTAAGGTAATTTGATGATTCTCTCATCTCTTTCAAGCCTCTATATTGCTTTTCGAATAGATAAGGCTGATTCAAGAGGCCTTTTCAGAATTTCAGCTCTATCTTGCCACTGGTTTCTGATTATAGCTAGTAAGAGATCAATTTTAGCATTAGAGTCTTACTGTGCTAAGCGTAGACAAGCCACAAACTCTACCAATGTGCAATTGAATCTTTAATTTTGTAAATATAGCCTTGCCCTTCTATATTTAAGGTCTGGCCTTGAATCTAATTTGAAATAATGCACGTTACTTGTTTCATAAACTGGTTAATAGACCATGTATACTGCCGGAATTAGATTTCTTCTAACCGTGTTCTATTTAGATCCCATATCCCCATGCACTTTAGAAGACCTGGAAATATATCTCTATTACAAATTTACATGAACTCTGAAAGTTACTTGATTTTCTTACTTCTAAAGATAAAACAAAACTATGAATTTTTGTATACCTGATGTTTCTAGAGATTGATGAAAAATAAGATTAGTTAAAGTTGAACAATAGTTATATGTCAGTTTAAGCTTTATCTTTCCCCTTCATTCTATATTTACTTTTACTGATGATATTAATTCTTTTGGGCTCAGTATATTACTTACTGCTCATGCTGCTGCCTTGGTATTCATACCAGCTTTTATACTGCTTGCAATCTGGTAACCATCATCTTTTTGTTGTATTTACAGCCCTATATTGGAGGTTTCACAACTCTTTGCTGAAATGGTGCAGCATGGACTACGTTGTATTGCTTTCTGCAAAACACGCAAACTTTGTGAAGTTGTGTTATCTTACACGTAAGTCAATCTCATATTCATGTGTTGATATTCGTGATAGGTTCTGGAATTTCCTTCATTGAAACACACGTGAAGTCTAAATTTTGTTGATTTAAGCTCATAATGGTCGTCATTTTCTGCTTGTTTTTATTTTTTCTGAGTATGAAGATTGATGTGAATGGTTTTTGCAAAAAGGACTTGGTCATGCATTTGATTTTAATATGATGGTAGTGCTTTTGTGTAATACCATTTAGACGCATTTTGATGTTATTGCAGTTAAGTGTGATCCAAATGCTTGGGTTTTTTTAATTTTCATCTTTATTTCTTTGGCAGACATGAGATTCTTCAAGATACAGCTCCTCATCTTACTGATTCCATCTGTGCTTATCGTGGTGGCTATGTTGCTGAGGTTAGTGTTCTTTTTATTTTGGTTTTTAATGCCATCTCTTTAGAAATTAAAAAAAGAACTTGGTTTGTTTTGAGGTATATACCACATCATTTTCCTTGCACTGATGTCTTGAACCAACCAACGCTGCCCTTGAGGGTAGAGGGTGCTAGGCTTGTAGTCAATTGAAGATTCTTTAGCACCATAAAGCTAGCCGACACCTTTGGTGTTAATGAACATAAGCATGCATTGAGCATTTTAGTGGTTATTTACGAAGCAGCTGAAGTCTAGATTAATTTTGGGAAGCATCTTGGAAATTGGATAATGAAATTTTCCATTAATTGAGTTATTGTCTGATTATGCTGCTTGGCTTTCATTTCTTCATGAACTCTTGAATGTTTGTGGGTGTGGGTGGTATATGGTGAAAGGGGGTTTATGAGACCAGTTCTAATTGCAGTTTATATTAAAATAGTGAATGGCTCTGTTGTGACTGGGCTTTGTGATAAAGCAGGATAGGAGAAGGATAGAGAGTGAATTCTTTAGCGGGAAGCTCTGTGGAATCGCTGCAACTAATGCTCTTGAGTTGGGTATTGATGTAGGACACATTGATGTGACATTGCATCTAGGTTTTCCTGGTAGTATTTCTAGGTAAAGTCTGTAACTATTTGATCTTAGTAACTCGGAATTATTTGTTTTGGTTCTGATTTATTGCTTGTCATTTTATTCAGTCTGTGGCAACAAGCTGGTAGGTCTGGAAGAAGAGGAAAACCGTCACTTGCTGTGTACGTTGCATTTGATGGACCACTGGATCAGTATTTTATGAAATTTCCACAAAAATTATTCCGAAGCCCTGTAGAATGCTGCCATGTAGATGCTCAAAACCCAAAGGTATCAGTAATTAGTAACTTATATCTTGAATTTGCAGCAACTAGTACTATATTGCAAGCTATTTTTCCTTTTACCCCAGCTTCACAAGCTAGATTATGTACTTCTTTGATCATGTCTTTCATGCAGGTTCTTGAGCAGCACCTAATTTGTGCTGCCATAGAGCATCCTATAAGTTTGATATATGATGGAAAGTATTTTGGCTCTGGTTTAAACGATGCTGTTACAGCACTTGAAAGCAGGGGATATTTATCTGCTGATCCCTCTCGTGAGTCAATAGCAAAGATATGGAGCTACATTGGGCAAGAGGTATATTTATCAGGTCTTATTTTAAAGCTCTTCTACCTCAATTTACATATTTGGGGACCATGAATTCGTCGAGGCCCCTTTTGTGCACTATTGACCAGGCAAAGCCAATATCTAAATTGTCTCGTGAATATTGTGAAAGAGATGGCAAGATCATACAAGTTACAGTGGCTTCTGTGTATGAAGGGAAAATATTGATGAAACTTTGTTTGAATGTGTGACATACATATAGTAACAGTGATTATTTTGGAAACGCTGTGCCCCTGCGATATTTTCTCTAGTTATTTCATTTGGCTTCGGGGGAAGGGGGAATTTGACGTAGACTTTGTACCAAAAATGGTTAAAAAAATTCTTGAAAAACTTGATAATGGATATTTTCTGTCGACTTTTGTGTGAGTTTATTTATTTATAATAACTTGTATTGTTGTGGAAAGAAAAAAAAAAGAGAGATGGATTGTAGTTTCAAAAGATTAGAGACAAAATGTGGAATTCATATTGTGGGAAATCTGAAATTCTGAAATGGAGTTTTTTTTGGGAGAGTAAGTCATTTAGGTGAGCAAGTGATGTGATTAGTGGTCTAGGAGGATGTAGGAACTAAGGAAACATGATGATCAGAGTAGAAAGAGACACAGTGATCTACTCCAATAATGATGGGAGGATGCCACTCATGCCAGTTGACCACTCTAATTGAAAACAGAAGCATGACAATTCTATTAGACTTCTTAACCTCTTTTAATTAGGCCTGTGCAATGGGTGGGCCTCATTGAATGCCCGGACCCAACCCTGAAATCAAAGAGTCAAACACGACCCTCCACACGGTTCAAACTGGGCCATGGAGTAAATTGCAATAAAAACTTGTAATTTAAGAGAACGGCTATATTAAAGATGGTGTCTTCTGGTAACCTAGCTATGGGCACAACCTGGAAGCTATGCAGCTATTCTACTTGCCTGCGCTCAATTATTGGTATCAAATACTGGGTTAATATAAGTTTAGGACACAAGGATACTGTGTTAGAATCAAATGAGAATGATGATAAGACACCGTTTAAGGCGCAGAATTTTGAACTACAGATACATCATTTTGACAGTGCATACTTTATGTATTTGTATTTTCATATTTTTCACCGGTAATAGGCTTTGACATCAATTATGTAGTCTTTTGTATTTGTTCTCTTTTTTTGGTGCCTTTGTTTGTGCACATTTTCCCCTTCTATATATTTTTTTCTTTCATTCTGAGAAGGTCTCACTTTTTCACTCTTGCTCTTTATGTTCTTTTCTAATGTCCCTTCGATTCTCCTCTTTGCTTTGATCTGCCCTTCATCTGTTAGCTTAGTATTCTATTAAGAATGGAAGTAATTATTAATATGATCAGGGCTTCTTCATGTAGATGCCTGTATTTTTGTTGAAAAATCCTGTGAATGACTTGACTTGGTGAGTTACGGGTTAAATAGAGGAGGAAAGGTTGCCTGAATTACATTAGGCTTTCTTTCATATGGAATATTGTTGTTGTTATTCTGCAATTTATGTTTTTTTTAAACCCTAACCATGTCTAGTCTCTGTTTTTTTTTGTTTTACTAGAAATCACCTTCTCGTTCAATTAGTATCCGTGCAATTGAGTCTGAGAAATACAAAGTGATTGACAAGAATAATGAAGTTCTTGAAGAGATTGAAGAGAGCAGGGCTTTTTTCCAGGTTAGTTGTACTTGATTTTTCTTTTCTTTTTTTTTTTTCTTTCTTTTGATGGATATTACACTATAATTTTAAATCATATTGTTCCTTAATATGGACCTGTTGATGCTATGTTGGTTACCTTTGATTTACATGCCTGCTACCTGTACTTGTGCAATTAATTTTTTTATTAAATCTTTTTAACACCCAGGTATATGAAGGGGCAATCTACATGAATCAAGGGAAGACCTATCTAGTAAAGGAGTTGGATTTATCTAGTAAGATTGCACTTTGCCAAAGAGCGGACGTAAAGTATTATACCCAAACTCGTGACTACACTGACATTGATGTCATTGGAGGTGCTCTTGTATGTTGAATTATATTTCCCTACTCCTATATTTTCAGACTGCATTATACACTTCTTAAATATTTGTGCAGCTAGTGGGACATTTCAACAATCTTTCAGCAAATTGATGTCAATGTCCTGATAGCATTGTACTCTCTATGTCTCATAACTATCATCCACTCTTTGGGATGTCCCAAACAGATCTTTTAGCTACCTATTTAGGCAATTATTTCCTTCCCCAATGCTTTGAGGATTGAGATTTGAGATAATTTTTATAAAAAGGGGTTCAATGGTTATAAAATATTGGGGTATCCATGTGTGAACATTTGAGGATCAAAAAGAAAAACTATAATTGTTAACATTAAGCTTCTTTCTTTGGGGACCTTTATATTGAAGATTGTGGTTTGAATTCCTATGGGGAGATTTAAAATGGATCTTCTTTCTAGCTATCATAGGCTCATAGCCAGTGCCTTGGGAGGCATTTTGAAGTCATAGATATTACAGATGTTGATCGCGACAGAGAGGTACCATCTTATATGATCCTCCATATTTTATTACTTGCTCCACTTTCCTTTTGTGGCCGTATTTTATTACTTGCTCCATTTCCTTTTTTGAAACTTTTAACAATATTTTACTATTTTCCTCCTACTAGTGGCCCCCTCTTTATATTTTAATATTTTAATCTGTCTCCTCCCCACTTACAGGTATAGTGTTACCTGAATAATGCTGATTAATTGCATTAATGATTTAATAGGCTTACCAAATAAGAGCTTCAAAGATGCAGTGTCATGGAACAACTGCCCTAACAAATTCCTGCACAGTAACCACCACTTGGTTTGGTTTCCGTCGCATTTGTAAACGAACCAGCAAGGTACTTGATAAAGTTGATCTTGCACTTCCCAAGTATTCATATGAGTCACAGGTACCAGACTCAAATCTTTCTGTGTTTTCAATTACAGCTTCCTGTTTCTTTCAAGTCTCTTTTTAAGAGGTTTTTTTATGCTACCACAATGGTTTTTGCGCAGGCTGTCTGGATTCGAGTTCCCACATCTGTGAAAACAGCTGTAGAGAAGGAGAGATTTTCTTTTCGTGCCGGCCTACATGCTGCATCTCATGCTGTCCTCAATGTAGTTCCGCTGTAAGTTTGCATCAGATCTGGCCATAACATTCTCTTTTTGTTCTGTGGTTTACATAGTCAGAAGTTTTGATTTGTATCCATACAAAATTAGACAAAAAACCAAGGGTTGGAATTCAAGTTTATGGTGCAATGAGTAGATTGAAACATCTCTTGAGCTGCTAGACTGCAAGACCACAAGTTGAAAGATAGAAGACGCAAAATATATGTTGCATTTATTAGTTTGGAACAATAACTCTGTAATTGCAGGTGCAGTCTGAACGCTCAAGCCAAAACTATCTATTGGCTTTCCTCATCTAGGAACCAGACACACTCGATCATCCAATTATCTTTTAGCTGTGTAAATGTTGTATTTAATCACTAAGGATTCAATACACAGTTTGAAGGGTAATGAAGGCTTCTAGCTTCATTTATCAAATTATAGACTTAAGTCACTTGTGACAATGGTCATCTCCCTTTTGTTGGTGTAAGAGCGAGGATCAAGGCTGCGCTTCTTTTGCACTATAACTTTAGAGACTTCAACCAATAGAGAATAACATTAAGGAGGTGCTGAAATTTAGTCATTCTTTCACAAAATTATTGAATAGCTCTCCAATTGGAACTATCTTGCTCACTCCTGCTTCCTATAGAAGATATTTCTCAAAGATCTGCAGCTCTTCACCATTTTTACACGATGAGCTATAGGATGATTTTTACTTACAATATTAAAATGGGATCTTGGCTGGGTAGGTGTGTGTTTTTGTGGGTGTTTAAAAAAATATTTAAGAAGGGGGCCGGGCGTGGTGTGTGGGGGGGGGGGGGGGGGTAGGTTGACTAGAGTACTAGACTGCATTATGAATAGATAGAGTGTAGATTAACTGTCCGAGAGGTATTACCTATCTTGATCTTCTTTGTGCCTTCTCGATACCTTAGGTGGACTGTATACACTAGTGATTAAAACCATTACCATGCATTTGCAGTTGTCTCTTGTCTGTCTATTATTTGCTAAATAGGTGACAATAGCATCCTGAACCTATTGTCACCAAATCTATTGATTGCTGGTCCCACACTTCCACTGCTAATGTTTCAGAGGAGCTGAATGAATTACTGCTATCGATGCTAATAGTTTTTGCAATGATTAATTAATCCAAAATTTACACCTAGAGCTCGCTTCCTTAGTTTCTCTTGTTTTCTTTGTTCCTTTTTGTATAAAGCTTTGCTCTTTCATAACTTTTCTGCTTCCCTGATTAATTCTCTTGTAAATGTGTAGCTACATAATCTGTGACTCTTCAGATTTAGCTCCAGAATGTGCAAATCCTCATGAGACCCGCTATGTACCAGAAAGAATCTTATTATATGACCAACGTCCTGGAGGAACAGGGCTTTCAATGCGGGTAATTGACATAGATTTATCTTTTAACTTCTTATCAAGAATCTTGCAGCAAACATATTACTATTAAATAATGAATAGTAAGAGTCAAAGAAGTTGAAGAGGTATCCAATATTGAGAAGATGGTGCTGTGTGTAATTTCTTGATATGAGAGGTTAACTTTAATACTAAGGAAAAGAAGAATCTATTCTTGGCGCTCAGCATGTACTGGTTTAGAAATATAATATACACTATATTTGGAACAATAGACTTGGAACTTGGAAGTGACTCCCACATCACCACTCTTTCTTGCTACATTGGCAGTTTTTATTTTGCCCCCTTGATTTTAGCAAAAACAACTGTTTGCTCACTTTCACATTCTCTTTCTCGATGAGTTTCATGTTAATGTATGATGTTTTGATGTGGGACAGATTCGACCACTGTTTAATGATATGTTGACTTCTGCTTTGGATATGCTTACATCATGCTACTGTTCAGGAGATGTTGGTTGCCCCAACTGTGTCCAAGTATGTTTAAAATGTTCTTTTCAATTCTTCATTTTGACTAAAATTTTAGATTTATCAACATTTTCACCATGGTGACTTCATATTTGCATCTTAACAGACACTCGCCTGTCAGGAGTATAATGAGCTATTGCACAAGGATGCTGCAATCATGATTATCAAGGTTAGCCCGATTTCTGTGGCCAATGAGAAATTATGTTTTTGACTATTTTGAGTACCATTACTAATAAATTTTATAACTATCTCCTTATCCACCCTCTCCCCAAAAATGGGGATAAAAATCAACTTATGCAGGGTGTTTTAGAGGCGGAAGACTTGTACTGGCGACAAAATCCTGGCCCTTTGGAAACTGCGTGAATTTGGATGTGGCAGCTTAACCTTGAAGACACTTAAAATGCTACTTTTTGAATCACATGCACAACAAAACTTCATATTTGGCTCCATTTCTCATCTCAGAGAGCTTCTCGACCTCTACTTCCTCTTGTGAAATTGGTGATCTTGAATTGTGACAGCTCCAAGGCTCTATATACTGAGAAACAACTGTGGTTTGTGGTTTCCGTCTTCAGAGCTGTGACTACTGCAAAAAAATCTGGTCATGGGTGCTTACAAATCCACCTGCAGCAGTCAATTTTAACTTATGTGGGATGGCAGTAGTGTGTATCCCATCTTCAGCACCTTGGCAAAGTATTATATGAATCCCCAACTCGTGTAGTTATTTAGCTGCTGATATTTACATGCAGCTTCAGTTTTGACCTCATGAACTGACTACATCCAGAGTGTTTCATCGGAATACATCCTTGCGAAACTACAAGAAACATACCTCTTACATGAACTGTACATAGTGTATTTCAAAGACAAATGCTCATACATTCAATTAAAAAGGGTATTTAATTGTCCAAAAGATTTTATGTTGATGAGGTGAATGTACATAGTACGTAGTTTCATATCAATCAAATACTAGTATTGTTTTGGTGTTTCAGTGTTGGTCTTTGTTTGCAAACCTACAGATACAGCACAATATGCTTAAACTAAAGTGTAAAAAATATTGGCCCATGCAGGTCTCGAACCTGCGACCTTCGCGTTATTAGCACGACGCTCTAACCAGCTGAGCTAATGGGCCAATTATGCTTAAATAGTCATTATCTAACAACATTTACAATTAATTAAGCAATAATTGGACACTGGATTTCACGAATCATTATGAGTAGTGTGTGCTAACTGCTCAACTACAAACCTTGATCTTTTGAATACCTTGGAAACCCAAAAAAAAAAAGTGAGGAGGAGAGAGAAAGTGATGGGGTGGGCGATAGCTTTGCATGGAGGAGCAGGTGATATCCCTCTTGATCTTCCTGCTGATAAACGACAAGCTCGTGAAAATGCCCTTAAACATTGTCTTGATATTGGTGTCTCCCCTCTTAAACTTGGCCGCTCTCCCCTCGATGTTGTCGAACTTGTGGTAATTTTTCTATACGGAGTATGCTTTCTTGGGCGTTGCTCGATTGATTGATTGTGTTTTTAAGTCCTGTGTTCGGAATTAATAGTCACGTTTACTATTTTATAAGATGTTGTCCCCTCTTTATATATTCTTGCCGCCAATCCGTGAGTATTTTCGTTAAATTGTGTCTATTCTAAACTATAAAGAATTGGAACAGTATCGACTAGAGTATGTATAAGATTATGTCTAATTACGGAGTATATAAGATTATATAATTATTAGATACATCAATAATTGAGTTTAAGGATGACAATTGATTTAAACTGAATGCTTGAATCATAGTTAACTTGAAATAGACATAGCTGTCTGTTATCAGATGATGCACTTAATATTAATTTATTTATTATGCAGTACTTGATCTACTATTGTCAATTTACTTTGGTTGTACTACTGGTACAGAATTGAGAATAATAAGGTCCGGTTTACTCCGCCTTAAAAAATATTGGATATTTAGTAAAAATAATTTCAGTTCAATAAAAATCAGTAACTATCAATAAGAAATATAAGAGAATCAGTAAAATTAATGTATAAATTCAGTAAAAATAATTTAAGTTCAGCAAAAATTAGGTGAAGTGAACGGGGCCTAAAAGTTGGTGACCTTAACAGGTACGTGAACTAGAAAACCATCCACTGTTCAATGCTGGCCTGGGTTCGGTCTTGACCGCTGATGGCTCTGTTGAGATGGAAGCGTGTATTATGGATGGTAACACCAAGAAATGTGGTGCTGTTTCTGGTCTCAAAACTGTTGTCAATGCCATTTCTCTTGCACGGCTACTCATGGAGAAGACGCCGCATATATATCTTGCATTTGAAGGGGCTGAGGCATTTGCCAGAGAACAAGTGAGTGCACCCCTTCTTTTTTATGGCCAAATTGTTTTATCAGGCTTTTTTTCCCCCGAATCCATGTCTTGCAAATTATTGTTAATATTGAACAATTTGCTTGAAAAAACTGTGATTTAAAGTAGCTAGTGAGGTAGCTGTCATTAAATTTGATCTACTGTCGTGTTCCAATATTATACTGATTAATGTCTTATTAAGCAGGGCGTTGAAACTCAGGAACCAAGTCATTTTATAACTCCGGCAAATGTTGAAAGGCTCAAACAAGCTAAAGAAGCAAACAGAGTGCAGGTATATATATCATGTCTCTTTGGATATGAAGTTGCATTCTTAAAAGTTAAAACATTAAGAGGAAATTCTTTCTTTGTGATAATTTGCCAGAATATTTCTTGTTAATTGGTTGCATCATATAATATGTATCCGTGCAACCCTCTCACAACCCCGGTTTAGAGTGTTATGGAAAAAGGGAATAAATTTGAAATTTGTTGGTGCTCAATTGATTTGTTTTTACCTTCATTTTACAATGGTTAATATTTTGAGTATATGCTAAGAAGAATTTTAGGTTATGCATTTTGCTAGTCTTCCAATCATGTTACTTCAGTTCAATGATCTATGAATGATACTTGTTTTTGTAGCTAGACTACACTCAGTCCATCGAGAAAGAAGTGAAAGTGGAAACACACGAAGTGAGTGGTGACAGCCAGTTAGGCACAGTTGGATGTGTTGCAGTTGATGGCGATGGCAACTTGGCTACTGCAACCTCTACAGGGGGCGTTGTCAACAAGATGGCTGGAAGGATTGGAGACACCCCAATCGTTGGAGCAGGCACATATGCCAACACTTATTGTGCTGTCTCTGCCACTGGGATAGGGGAAGCCATCATACGTGGTACCATTGCTCGAGATGTGGCTGCACTTATGGAATATAAAGGTGTTTCTTTGAAAGAAGCAGCGGATTATGTTGTGAAAAATGGTGCCCCAGAAGGCACCTTTGGGCTGATTGCTGTATCAGCTACAGGAGAGATCGCTATGCCATTCAATACTACTGGGATGTTCCGTGCTTGTGCTAGCCAAGATGGTTCCTCGGAGATTGCAATACATTGAATGGCCTAATATAATTTGAAATATGATCAATGTTTGATGAAGAAGGCATTCTGCTTGAAAATTGTGTTATTTGTGGAGTGCTTCGCTTTACTTGACAGTGGGGATTCGCTGGTGACAAAATGTATAATGTTAGAAGCCGCAGACAGATTAGCAGTTCACAAGTTAGCCAAGCAAACCAACTAGAAGCAATGAAGTTATGCAGGCTTAGATATTTTTTCAATTAATGGGAATGTAAACGATTGTGCTATCCATTTGATATTTCATTCATTGCAACTCATTTCTCCTGAAAAATTGAAGAATAAATGGTCAAACTTTGTGAGTACTAGTGGGTTAGACTTCATTAGATTATCACCAATTATTCTCTCCCACCCCTTTTTATGTCGTATAATATTTCCCGCCAAATGCACCTTTTGTCGGATTTAAATTTAAAATTTTATACGGAGTACAATTTTTTTATACATATTTGAGTTCAAACCTATTTACGTACGTATCATTTAAAATTTATACTCCTTTGTTTTAGAAAGGGTAATTTCATTTCTTGATAACCGACTTAACTAACTGTCCTAACAAACTCTCAGACTAAAGAAGAAAAATCCGTTTGGATAAATCTTGATTTTTATGTAACAACCAAAATACACTTATAAATATCAACATACCCTTATAAATAATTTTTCAAGCACTCTACATTTTCTTCATAATTATAGCAACATTTTCAGAAATACTACTTTCATCAACAAAAATCCTCAGAAATCTCTGTTTCTGTTCTGTTCTGTTCTCTTCTGCTGTTAATCACTACTTCATCAGTAGCCATGTCGGGTTCGAGTTCACAAGCAATGCTACGAAGCGATGTTGAGGAGACAGATCCCACGGGGCGATACGAAAGGTTCCGTAACATCATATTAGACCCCAACTCCAAGAAAATAGTTTATGGAGGAATTGATCAAGCTACTGGTATACAAATTAATTGGTGTAAGATAGTCTTAGGACTTGCAACAGAAGAAGATATTGATCAAGCTTTGAATATCTTCACAGTCAAAACCCTCCGATTATGCACCGTGATCTTAGCCTGGAAAACATCTTTTTTGATGGGAATACAGGCGAGGTTAAGCTAGGAGAATTTGGTGTCGCGATAAGGCTTGAAGAGATTGCTGGTAAACCGCCGTATGCTGGTACACCAGAGTAAAAGGCACCAGAGTACAATATACCAAAGGGTTATTCGTTGAACTATAGTGACACGGCTGACATATATTCTTTGGGGATGTGTGTACTTCAGATGACGAGTAGAGAAAAGTTTTACAGTGAATGCAGGAATCGCGCTGAGATCCAGTCGTGTAAAAGGGGTGTAATGCCTGCTGCGCTAAAACAAGTGACAGATGATGAAATTAAGCACTTCATTAACAGGTGTCTGTCTTAATTATATGAAAGACCTTCAGCATCTGCTCTGTTGGAACACCCGTTTATTCCATCTGATGAGGAATTTCAAGGCATGCGAATAGGGGAGAGCAGCAGACTTGAGCAGAGTTATACCAGATGCAGATGCTAATGAAGATGCAGATGAGAGGCAGCGTGGAATGACTTAGGGAGAAAGAAGCAAGCCTGTTTGGCGTAAGAAGCTGTCAAAACTGTAGTCGATTTTGCGCAAAAACAGATGATCCTAGCCTTGATTTGATTCTTTAGTACAATACTAAGCTTCTCTTAGGTATCAATTCTTTTATGTCAGACTACATATTAAAATCAGTCTTTAATTCTAGGTAGTATGTTAGTGATATGATATTACTCAGTTTTAGGTTAATGCTGAGGTTTTTACTCATGCATAGTAGTGTATGTCAGTCAGTCAGTCGGTCAGTGTGTTTGTTGATTGAGTTTCATCAGTTGTAAGTGTCTCATTTGTGCCAAGAACATTGCTGAGTTAGTTGATTGTAACAAATTTGTCAAGAACATTGCTGAGTTAGTTGAATGTAATAAATTTAGAATTAAGTAATTTGTTTTTCTTTCTTTATGCAGTTTCTGGGTTCATAAACTTTGTTTTTTCTATTGTATAACTACTGTAATGTGAGTTAAGCACAGGCTACATATCCAAGATTCCAAGTCATTAGAGTTGCTAAATCAGATGTTTAATTAGCTTGAGTCAGGTCATGTAACTAGTACGGTATAATTGACTATGGTTAGTCGTGTTATGTCATCTAGCTTCGAGTTTATTCGAGTTGAACTCATAATATAAAATGTATCTTATAGTAACACAACACTTAAAATGTAACAAAAGTTACACTAATGGAGTAATACTTAAATCTGAAAAATTAAATTATACAAAGTAAAACAATTGATTATGAATTAGTGATACTTTGTGTATTAATAAGTCTAGACCTGTAATGAAACTCAGTTCTTGTCAGTGTACTCTGTATTCAAGATGATGCCAGTTTTATTCTAATTTAGTGATTAAAATGAAGCTTGAGTTTTTACAAATTTCAAACCACCTTCATTAATGATACCATCAACTTCCATGCTCGAGTGGTGCAAGTTTTCCATCTTGAGGAAACGGGTATGATTTGTATAAAATTTAAACGCAATACAGTAGAGAGGGGACTAACAAAATGAAAAGCTTAGGTAATCTTCATAACCAACTGTGAAATTGACATCTCTAGAACAAAATAGCTACCATGAATACCATCTATTAGAGTAAAATTACAATTGAATCCAAAATTGCTATGAATTTATTACACAATGCTACAAAAATGAAAAAAAAATCTACAACTGTATCAAAGGCCAAAAAATTAAGATCCACCAGCCAAAAGTGAATAACCAGCACCATTTTTTTTCCAGTACAATTTGTGGGGCCTTATATCTGTAAAACCAACTTCCTCTATTAGAATACATATGTAATATGAGGAACAAAAGTGTACCAATAAAGGATCCTAAATGAAGACAAAAATCCTTTATTGACTCTACAATTGGTTGAATCGCAGGCTCCGGTGTTCATGACTGCATAAATTACCAGCAAAACTTCAAAGTTAAAAAAAAAAATAAGTAAAAAATAAACTATGCTTGCTGTTCAATTTGTGACACACTCCTGAAGGTATGTACTGCTCTGGTTCACATATCGATCCCACAAAGGTTTATACCGGCCAATGGCCAATTTTAGCCATGGCTTCATGTTCCCATTGTAGTGAATAACAGCTGCACTCTCTATTAGACGATTATCAATGTTTGGATCATATCCTAATCCAAGTACGTGCCATCTTCTATCAAGCGGCTCTGTTAATCCATAGAAGCTGAGAAGTCCAGGAGGGAGAGTACCTAGCTTCCACAATGACCGGTCATAGTTTTGCTCCATCCAGTAGTGATAACGAGTAGTCACATTTGCTTTTCTCCAGGCAATCAAATCGAAAACATTCATGCCAAATGCCCATCCACAAGCCTGAGGATCAAATTTTGAGCTAATTATTGAGTTGGAAAAATTGAGATATTTATAGTACCGATGAAATGCTTCAAGGCAAGTTTCAACAGCTCCATTGACATTTCCATGCAAGTCCAATGAGAAAAGTGGGGTCAAATCCTTCTGGACAACCACATCATCATCGAGAAAAACTACTTTCTCCAGCTGGGGGTAAATGTCAGGCACATAGAACCGAAGGTGGTTTAATAGAGAAAGGTATTTTGGGTTCCGAAACTTGGGTTCAACTCTGAAATCTTGTGACCCACCAAAGTAGTAGGCCTGAGAATCAGGGTCAAGCAGCTGTTTGAAGACAGGAGAGTAAGAGGAATTCAGCCAAGTGAACTCTTCAATATTCTGAACCTCTATTGTTGCACCTTTGAAGTCATTACTTAGAAACCAAGTCTGCATAGCACCATACGTGACACCATTTGTAACTATGTGAAATACAAGTTGCTTTGGATGGTCAGCATTGGAGATGGTAGAGTTGACAACCACTGACACACCAAGCAAATTATCTGAAAATATGCAGAAATGGTACAGATTGTTGTCCACGAGACGGGGAGAATTCTTGTTCTCATTTGCTAGTGGCTGTAGCGATGGCTTCTTCAACCAATCAGCCATCAGTTTGATGTTCAAGCAATGGAGAGTCTTAGGTAAGGATTCAGCTGCCAACTGCCCGAAAATTGTGCTCTGAACAGTTGATGCATGTGCACGCTCCTCTAGTGCTTGAATGTGAGATTTCATAGTCATTATTGTTGTAGCTAGGTCATAGTGTGCATCCTGCGACTTGAAGATCAGGGATGACAGGCTTTTAATTATTGGTTCTGCTTCATCCAGTGATATAGCCTCTCCTCTCATAGCAGCTTTTGAAAGTAGAAGCTGGCAACTTCTGATCCTTGAGCTGAGCTCCCAAGCAAGCTGAAGGTTGTTATGCTCTTTTGCAATGATCACATAAGCCTTGGCAAGGGTCATTTGATCAGCTAATTGCCTTGCAACTGAACTTGAACTTAATAACTGGTCTGTAAAATTCAATCGCTCCCGAGTAGGCTCTACTGTATTATCCTTTTTCTGTCACAAATCATTAGCCACTGGTAAGATACTGCCAGTAATATGCTGATTCCAGGACATTACAAGCACAATTTCAATTCAGATGTGGATTACTATAATAATATGTGCATCATTGTAGTAGTGTGTTATTCTATTACAAATTTGTACTGATTCAAGTAAATATAAGCTTATTATAGCTCGCCATGTATGAACATACAAGGTGATGCATTTCCACTAGCAAATATGTATCTTTCTTCATTTATACACAATGAAGGTCATCACCGACTAGAGGTGTGGATACAATAAATTAATGTACTCAACCTGCAGTTTCACTGCACAAAAAGTATGTCTGAATCAAACATAACCAATGCGTTTCTTACATAAAGAAAATACATTACAGTAAGATGATGGTTTGAATTAAACTCAAGATGATGTACATAGATTTTACATTGTTCAAGTATCACTGAAACGGAGGAAAAGCTCAAAAATATCTGGATTGTGAGCAAGAGTGATCTAAATGGTGCAAACGTAGATATAAAGTAAAGCTTTGTTAATATTAAGAAGTTTGATATACCATTGGTCTAACTTAGAGCGTCAAAACACATATTAGGAAGTTCCATTTTATCTAGGATTTTAAGGACATACTTTGAGATGCATAAAGGACTAAAAGTTAGATTGCTTAACTCATGTCCTCAAAGTAAAGTAGTACACAAAACCAAAAAAAAATTGGTGAATAAGCTGGAATGCCAACAGCATATACATGATGCACTGTCAATAAAACAGGAACATTGTGGGATACATAAATTTCATTCCATAATTTGGAAGTCCTACGTAGCATATACAACACAAAGGTGAGTACCCTCAAGACCAAGAACTGTGTGTGTGGTTACTATTTTTCACACCCTCGGAAACTGGAACAATTTTCAAACACATTTAAATCACACCTATGTAAGGGGGTTACAATTTCACATCCTCGGAGACTGTTAGCTGATACGTTTGCCAAATTTATTATACATGATAGTATGATACAAAAAATGGTTCAATAAGTAGGAGATATTTAAGGGAAGAACAAAAAAAGGAAAAGAAGACAGAAGACGATAACTAACACTAATCCTGACAAAGGCTAGCAAAAGTGAAGAAAAGTTTAGACTTTTATTTTCTTGTTGGCCTCTCTGTTAAAAGGAGAGTGATGGAGGAAGAACAGATCAGTTTAAGATATAAGGTTAAACAAAACAGTTTCCAGCTTGTATACTTAAGTTCAATAAGACTTGGCATTCATCAAGCTGTTATTACTAGTTGATTCCCTAGAACTTTGAAATTAGATTTTGACATTATAGAGTAATTCCCAATCCTTCTGGGATTAAAGCTTTGGCAATGTTTAATTGTTGTAACGTTATAAAGGCTACATATAATGAGCTAGAGTTCGGAATGACTACCATTCTACGGGTTTGAGAACAAAAAGTATACACTATGATTAAGCATTTCCTTTCCCATTCTTGATGGGACGTACAAAAATATACTAAACTAAAAGAGATATAGTTAAGTAAATAACTAAAAGAACTAGGGCTTCAACGAGATTTACAGAATAGAAAGAGGCAATTCCCTATTAAAATAAAGATTAGTTTACTTGATATCATGCCCATGAACATTAAGATGTTTTACTTTACTTTATCAGGAGCACCTGATCACTATATGCATTGTATAGTTAACCATTCAGCTTTGACAATGAAGGCTTTACAAAGCTTGAACTTTACATCCCTAAATGGCTATAAATCTCTTTTATACCCTTACAGACAAAATACACTGATCTACAGGATACAGCCAAATGCCTATAGGAAGATCACTTTATTTCTAAATGACTTAAATTTGAGTTCACCACCAGGACTCGCATCAAATGGTGGCACATAAGGCTCAAGATATACATTACAAAGCACAAAGTCTTAAGAATTCGAACGTGACAAAAGAAACATAAGCAAATAAGAATTTGTAACCACAAAACAGGACAACTCTCAGGAAAGCATAATGAACTATGAAGAAGCATAATACAAATATGCCCTAACAATAGTCATCATATGAGATCATCACCCAATTATGATACCAAATTTTGAGCATAGGTTATTGGAAAACGTATTGAATCCACCTTATTGTGCGAGATAGAACTTCTCCTGTGGTGCCTCAATTTTAATATGGTAGACATACAAGATTCGAGATATCATCCAAATCAAGTAATGGCCTCAGGTTATAAAAATACAGTCAAAATTCATATATTCAAGTTATACTCTCATCCATCTAAACTAGTAATTCAAACATTGACATCACACAAATGAGAACCTATAATTATATGAATCTAATGAACTTGGATATCTTACACAAATCAGGAAAATTCCCCAACGAATTCCTCAAACTTGGTAAAAACCACTGATAGATTAACACTTCAACTAAACAAAAACAACCAAAAAGCAAGAAATGAGTATAAAGTAATCCGTTACCACTTATATGACATCTCACCTACCAAGATTCTGCCAATAAAATCACCTTTGACCCACAAAATAATTTGACAAAATAACACTTAGATAAACCTCTAATCAACCCAAAATTCATCATCCAACTTCAAATGATAAGCAATTAATTCAAATATATACTATTATAACTAAATTTGATTAAAAAATATTGAGTAAATTACCACTGTCGGCTGATGAACATGATCTTGATTATGATGATTATGTTGAACAACAAACAAAATAATCCCAGCAAAAAAGAACAATCCAAGAAGTGCCCAGATCCAATTAGAAATTCTTCTTCGAACAGGGCGCCGGAAATCAGCCGCCCGCCGCCCCCGCATCTTCCGCCGCAAATAAAAATCACCCCAAAATTCAACAATCTAAGCTGAACCCATCATCAATCAAGATTTAAATATCAATTTAAAGTATAAAATCTGATTAAAAACTCAATAAAAACAAAACCCAGTTCAGTATTTTGGTAAAAAATTATGCCCACAAGTCTAAAATGGCAAAATTCACCCAGAAATGACTGATCAAAATGTGGGGTTTAAAGTTGGTTTTTTTTTTTTTACTGGGTTTATGAGCAGCAAATGATGAAAGAAATAAAAAGCAGAAAGTATAGATTTGGAATGAATGGGGTCAGTAAAAATCAGCACATTTATTTGGACAGCTTTTATATAATTAGTAATTAATCAAATTAATTAAGAGGAGAAATGAATTTTTGGTTTCTGCTTCTGCACTGTTCACATTGGCGGGGAAGGGAAGGAGGAACCGAGGAAGGGCATCTCCACATGACTACATGTGCTGATGTGCTCTTGCCCTTCTTTTTTTTAGCCTTTGCTTTTAACTTTTTTTTACTCCATGCATTTACTTGGAGGAGGCATTAAGGATAAATCCCTAATGAAGAACGGGTTTTACATTCACGCACCTTTTCTCTTTTTCTCGATATTTTGTTTGGAAATTCTCATTTTTATTTTCTAATTGAGTGGATTTTCAAAAGATGTAAGTATCATTTTATGTATGGGTGATTTATATAAAATTGATGATTATATTTATCGATTTGTATTCTGTCATATAATTTAATTGTCTACCTATTTTTTTTTTTTTTTGTGTTTATTTGTTTACCTATTGACTATATATGCTATGTATTATATGATAACATTTTAATGGATTGTATTATGAGTATCGAAGTTTTTTTTTTTTAATTTACGGGGAGTATTGAAGTTTTCCCATAGTGTCGGCATACTCTCCAAAATTGGGGTGAGCATGGATCGGATACCTAATATCCGAAACTGTAAAATCTGATATTCGATCCGAAAAGTTTCGGCTATCCGATATCCGAAATACTTTAAAGCATTGATTTACATAGAAATATCGGGTGTATCCGTATAATAAATTTCAAAATATTTTTGAAGCTTTCTAATGATGTACTGGTTGTAATATTGAAAGAACTAACGACAAAAATATATACTCTTTTTGTATTTTGAAAGGGTAATATTTGACATTTTGCATTACTATATACAGTAATTATGTAATATGTCATTGGATTAGTTATATTTTGTAATTTAATTTATACGAATAAAAAATCAAAGATATTAATATTCAACATTGCAATAGGCAAATATTCTAGTCAATTTGTTGCACTTACAAAAATCAAAGGGGTTAGTACTTAGTATTTGTCTTTTTATTTTTTTTATTTTTTTTTTATTTTTTTTTTAAAAGTCACGTATAACATAGAATAATTGAAGTTTTTTTTTTTTTTTTTTGAACGGGAGAATAATTGAAGATTTGAAGAAGTCATGTTTGCTAATCTTTTTCATCATTTCCTTAATAATGTCTCAGTATGGCCTAATTGCCTACTTAGGTAGTAGCTAGATTACACAAATTGGAACCATAATAATGGCCCATCGAAACAACCTAAAAATACTTTAATAAAATTAGTAAGGCATAAATCAACTTATTACTACAGTTAGAATATGACAACTTAAAGGTCAAGTAATTTTCTGTCTCTAGTAGGGTTGTTCCTAGGTAGTTCCTAACCCACGTAAGGAGTAGGGAGCATCTTCCAAAAAAAAAAAAAAAAAAAAAAAAAAAATCATAGGGATCAAGACAAGTTTACAAAAAAATACAAAGTAAGTGTCACTCTAATGATGTAAAATAATTTAGGCCAAGCATTGATTTACTTAAGAAAAGATCATCAATACTCGAGGATTAGAACATTGGAATTTTTTTTTTTTTGGGGGTTCAAGCTATGTCCCCCAAGCTATTTAATTTCTAAGTTGTACCATGCTTTTTCAAAGTTATAAGTTGTGCCTCCACCTCACGATATTTTATCAACAATACCCTTTGACAGTCATATTAGTTAATGAAAGTTAAGTTATTTTACCAACAATGGTGTCGTGGCATTATTAATTTGACATGTATCCCATTCTAATTGGTTTAACACTTTACAAAAATTTTAAAAATTAAAAAAAAAATAAAAAAGGTTATTGTTACTCCGTAATAAAAATTAGTGAGGTTGAGGGCATAGGTTAGACGTTTGAAAAAGCATGGGCACAGCTTAGAAACTGAAGAAGTTTGGGGGCATAACTTAGAAAACCTTTTTTTTTTTTACATAGTCAAATCCAACCAAACCATTGTGTTTCATGTTACTTATTTATTTTGTTGATTGGTAAGGAGAAGAGCCCTACCGAGCCAAAATCTCTACAGGGTCCACTCAACTCAGGTTAACGACGACTAGGCCTTTTACGTGTGATAGTGTTTAGAGGGGGGGGGGGGGAGGAAATCCCCACCTCAAAGAATCTCAAATAGGGTTTAATCGAGAAAATTTTCTCATTCTGTTACTAAGTTAATTAGAAAATATTGCAATATAAAAATGGAAAAGGATTTTAATTGTGTTATGCATTAGATTCATGGTTATTGTGTCGTATTAGGGTGATCCAAACCTTCATAACTTAGAAGCATTTTGAAATTGAGAGAAGCAAGAGAAGATAAATCCTATAGACATGAAGCATAAAATTCAACTCCCCTAATACAAATGAACATGAATAAATATTCTATGCAAATTAAGGCACAAGTGCACAACTTTGTTGTTTGCACTTGAATTGGTTGTTAAATCTATATTTTAGAGGAGGTATAATTCTTTATTAATCAAATCACATTAAATTATAATCCGCATTAAAATATAAGGTGTACCAACGCGAAAAAATTGTCCAAGTATAGATGATGTTGCTTTTAATGTTTCATAAACTTCTCAAAAAAGTTATAACATGATTAAAAAAAAAAAGAAGACTTGTTGATGATTCGTATACTTGACTGAAGTCAACATACTCTTTGATTAACACCCCCCCCCAAAAAAAAAAAAAAATTCAACATACTCCAATACTTGACATACATGAAATGCCATTAACTCCACTTAATGTCAAATTGTTTAAAAAATCTCCGCTCAACACATGATGTAATGACATGTTCACTTCAGCTTAATTTCAGTTCAGTTCAACTCCAATTAGTTCAGTTCAGCTCCTAATTTCCCTCTCTAATAAAATATTCATTTCAGCTCCATTCAGTTTAGTTCATTCAGTAAATGTAAACAAGCCTTAAGATATTAGAGTTTAATGAAGTGTTTGCTTTTTAGAGATTTCCCATGCTTGCCATAGTTTCCCAACATTGAGAAACATTGATGTTTCTCATCATGGCAAAAAAAGTATATTTATTTGAGGAAATGGCAAAAAAGTACTTCCTCCTTTTTTAAATACTTGCTCCATTTCTATTTTTTGCACTGTTCATTTGTCCTACTTTAACTAATGTTTTTTATTTATACATAAGAAAAACTATAGTCTTGTGGGTACTTGTTGGAATCATCTCATTGAATAGATTATTAATTTTCAATTGTTAGAATTTATACTTATTGGTAATTAAAGATATAAGTGATCAAATATTATCGGCATGCGTGTCCAAGAAAAATGGAGCAAGTATTTAAAACCGGAGGGAGTATATAATTATCAATATTTTATACGTAGTATTTTTTTAACTTCCCCCACCCCCTCATTTCCTTATTCTTCTAGTCCTCCTCCATATTCTTATTCAAATCTCCATTCACAACCCAACTCCATCAGCTCCTTTCAATCCCAACCCGCAACCACCTCTATGTTCATCGTTTTCAACCATTTTTGTTTTATCTAACTAAAACTGTATTGAACATATCCATCTTTCCTCTTGTGAACCACCATTTTCACCACCATGAATTAAACAAAAACCCTAAGAAATAATCATGATTAATACCAAGGGTTAGATGCATCATCCTCCTCCATTAAAGTCTCTTGCCATGTTCAATTTCTCCATTGAAGTTCTTCGATTTTCCTTATCCATTGAAGTTGCTCTGTTTTTACTTGAATTAGTTTATTCATTAGAAAAAAAAAATTACAATATTAAGTTTTCCTATTAAGTTTTAATATAAAGTTTCATAATACCGAGATTTAATAGCCAACTCGAGCCGAGTTTTGACCGAGTTACTCACAAGCTACTCAACTCAATTAGCTCCCCTATTATTAACATATGACAAAGTACAAACCCGAATTTGACCTACTGACTCGAATTGATACCAACGCTCCAATTTTGATAGCGCGGATAATTTGTGCTTCCAAAAAAAAAAAAAAAAAAAAAAAAAAAGCAGCAAAACGTCCAAAACGAGGCTAAAGGTCTGGGGCCCCAAAAAACACCATGAACTCAAATTCATGGTAAACATTACCCGTCATCCTTCGGTGGCGCTCTTCTCTTTTTCCCACCATTTTTCGTCGTCATTTGCTTCATCCCACGAAGAGGAGAGAGAAAATCACGGCGGCCTAAAATGGCAGCAAGAAAAGGGGAGAAGTTCTCGGCGGATTGGGTAATGGGAGGTTCGGCGGCAGTGGTGGCGAAGACGGCGGCAGCACCGATTGAAAGGGTGAAATTGCTGTTGCAAAATCAGGGTGAGTTGTTGAAGAGAGGTCGTCTTCATACTCCTTATTTGGGTGTTTCTGATTGCTTCAAAAGGGTTCTTCGAGAAGAAGGTGTTCTGGCTTTTTGGAGGGGAAATCAAGCCAATGTCATTCGTTATTTTCCTACCCAGGTCTTTGATTTTTACAATTTTGCTTAGAAATTTGATGGGTTTTTGCTGGAATTGGAATTAATTTGTGGGGTTTTGTGATATTTTTTTTTTTTTTTTTGGTGTTAATTGACCATTCTTTTGTATTCTGTATTGATTTATGTAGAGAAATTATGTGAATGGAAAATGAGGATGTGAGATGTTTTTGCTACTTTCAGTTGATTTTTGCCATGTGTTAATGCCATTGTTTTGTTGGGTTTGTGAAAATAGGAAGGTACATTATGGAAAATTTGTTGTCAATTTGAAATAAGGATGTGGATATTTATGTAGAACTTCATGCTTGTTAGTTCACTATTAGCATTGCAATGATGATGCAATTATTTAGTAAAGAGTTAGAGATGTATGAAGTAACAAATTTGGATTTTTGATTGGAAAGAAAACAAAATAATACTATGTGGGTTTTGACTTTTGAGGAATAGAGTGAAAATTTGGAACAAATGTAGTCTGAGAGGATCTTTGGTTTAACATTAGATTTCTACTGAAATGGGGCTCATCGTAACTACTTGTAACATATCGCTTGGAAAAGAGTGAAAATAAGGAAAACATTTAAGATCTCTCATTCAATGTGCTAACAGATTGATCGGAATAGAGTGAAAATTTGGGGATAAATGATTGAACTCTATCATATTTGGTAACAAGGAATTGCTGCTTTAAAATGATTGATGATAATTGCTGGACACTTGGGCAGGAGATAATGTCTTAGTATGGCTAAGCCTGGTTGAAGCAATGAAGTGCTGCTCAGAAACTAGTATGGCATAAGAAGATTTGATCTTTGCTATTCGGCATGGAATTTTATGGCCCTGTTGCTGTTATGCACTGGCCTGCTCCTTGATTATGTCTTACTATTAGTTAATATGGTTTTGAGAATATAGTACTGATTACTGATTATGTGATGGCATAAAAAATCCTCCCCATGGACATTGTTTTAAATTGTACTCCCTTCATCCCAAAATATTAGGCCTCTGTCTTTATTGAGTTAAATTAGAGTTCCATTTCAACATATTTTAAATAACAAATAACTTAAGCAATCGACTGTTGGCTCAACTGAAAATGGGTTAGGATTGACCTGCGAATTATCAAAATTTTCAGACTTAGGGCCTGTTCTCATACGTTTATTTTCATTTCAGTTCAGCTCAGCTCCTAATTTCCTTATCTTATAAAATCAATCTATTAGAACAGGCCCTTAGTCAGTAGGAAGTTATGAGCCACTAAATTGTTTTTAATACTTTGTCAAACATCTTGAATAAAATTTCTTATTGAAATCCATTGAACCTCTTTAAAGTAACAAAGCTTATTGGAATTATATATAGCCTGAAGACCCTGAACCCTGCTGGGAGAATAAGATAAATCACTTGATTTCCTCAAGTACTGGTTTTTACTAGTAAGAAACCAATATTCTTGAACGTACATATTTTGCAGGTTAGGTTTATGGCTGGTATGGTATTTAGTACCCTATAATTGTTTGAGGGATTCAGCTCAAATTGGGATTATGGGTAACATACTAACATGTAAGGCTTGATTTCTGAAAAGCTTCTGGATTTGAGGCCAACAAAATAACTCAAATTATTTCATACTTCTTCCTTTTTCTGGCCATCAACATCACCCAATTTCTTCACATAGGTTTTGGCTTTTTAAGTCAATATTTAAGTCAGGTCAATTTTTGCTAACTCTGGTTGCTAGTATTTGAAGGGAATAACTAAATATCTGTTTGTCCTTCCTGGTCTTCACCTAGGTTTCCAGCCTTCCTAATTTGCAAAATTTTCCATTTCTTGGAAATCCACACAAAAATAAAGTTCAGCTCTAAGCAGTTTTAATTTAGGTATGTAGATAATAAATTTTACTTTTCTTACAATGATCATCACCTGTTTTTATCTCATATTCATGTTCCTGACTTTGGTTGGAGTTTTCTTGGAATAACAATTTATTTAAGTAGTAATGACGAAATTGGAGTTGAAACATGTTTGCAACACTCATGTGCTCTATTTCCTATTTGTTGAAAAGATAGAGAACTGGAATTTTTGATGTGTTCTATTTCCTATTTGTTTAAAAGATAGAGAACTGGAATTTCTGATGCTATGCAGGCTTTCAACTTTGCATTCAGAGAGTACTTCAAGAGTCTTTTCGGGCATTCTAAGGAGAGAGATGGCTACTTGAAATGGTTTGCTGGAAATGTGGCTTCTGGAAGTGCTGCTGGAGCAACAACTTCAGTCTTTCTCTATCATCTAGATTATGCACGTACACGACTTGCTACTGATTCACAGGGAGTTTCTATGAATGGGCAACGACAATTTAAAGGATTGGTTGATGTTTACCGCAAGACATTGTCAACTGATGGAATTGGAGGACTTTATCGAGGATTTGGAGTATCAATTTTTGGAATTACACTTTATCGGGGTTTGTACTTTGGGATATATGACACTTTGAAGCCGCTTATTTTGGTTGGGCCTCTTGAGGTTGGTCACTCTTTTTTTTTTTTTTGCCCGAGTATCCTATTACACTCTTAGCTGTCTGCTTAGTTTGATTTTACTGAAAACTTTCACAATGCAGCAGTTATTTTGCTCCCACTGGGCTTTAATGCCTGGAACTTTAACAATCTTGTTAGATATCAATTGTCAAGTGGCAGAAAATATTCGTATTGAATGTTTAATGGACCTCTCTTTTTTTATTGTTATTGGTGAATTAGTTTAAATTCCTTTTCTCCCACCACCATGTCACCGTTATAGGCAGCTGTAACAATTTTTTCACGGTATTGCTATGGAAGTGAGATCTATAAAATTGAAAGGAGAGAAGACCCAAGGAATTTATTTCTTGTTGTCATTCTTTTTGACAAATGTTCTTATAGACATAGGGCACACTTCTTTTTTTGCTGTTGCTAAAACAAGGTCGAAGGGGAGTGGTTTGTAGCAATTTGTGAAATTTTACCATCTTTTGCAGGTGCGGTCATTGTTTCTGTTTAATATTTGAGGAAAAAAGCATAGGAGTAGGCCTTAAAGAAAAGAAATAATGATAGTGGAAAGTAGGCTGGAGAAATATAAAATGAGTTGTAATACAGAAAAGAGATAGAATCTTGATACTGAAGCTCCATGGTTGGTAATGCTGTAGTGGGGATAATAAAATAGAAGTTGCAGTAGACCAAGAATGACTTGGATGGAAGGGGTACCATGTATCGAGGATATTAAATTAAGGTCTTTATGATCATATTATAGAATGCAATAGGTGTGATTGCAGGAAAATGATTAATGTAAGTGACTCGTGGAATGACATCTTGCTCCATGTTGGCAAGGACCATCCTTTTGGGGTTGAGGATTTGATAATGTTGTTGGGTGGATTGGGCCTCTCCCAAGCTAGACACAACATAAATATGTCAAACACCCTTGACACTTACCTGACCTAATTAAAACCCAGCCTGTTTTATTGACCGGGTAGTTGTGTTGACCTATTTAACTTTGTTTAAATTTTGAAACATCAAGAACATTCAAATAACGGATCTCTCTCTCTGTCTGATTATGCTATATTTATAAAGCAGTTCAGGTTAGATAACTTTTAACTTTCTTGAGTATGCTGAAATTTTCAGGAAAGAATTCGGAATTTCGACTAATCTATCTCTTATCTGTACGTTGTGTCAAAATGTGGTTTGTAATTTTTTCTACTCTTTCTGTCCACAAATAAAAGTCCTCTTAGGTTTAAGTGTAAAACTAAAGAGTTTTAATCAGGAGGGAGGCTTATTGTAGACTGTGTATATGTAAAAATAAGAAATTATATAATACTTTGTATAAAGAAACATAAAGCTCTTATATGGGACCCAAATCACATGATAGAATTGAGGTGAATTTTCTGTATAAAGTAATTATGACTTTTAGAAATGGACATCTAAAAATAATATACCAGACTTATACTTGTGGACAGGAGTATATGTTTGAGTCATTCAGGTTGTAGCATATTGTATTTGTGTTTGAAAACTCATCACTAACCATAGCCATTTAATCTTCATCTTATCATATACAAAGTATGAATTCTGATTGCTTTTTATCCTTGGAATGTTACAGGATAATTTCCTTGCTTGTTTTTTCTTGGGTTGGGGAGTGACAACTACATCTGGTATCTGTGCCTATCCATTTGACACCGTGCGACGGAGGATGATGCTTACATCTGGGGAGTCTGTAAGGTATTCTAATGCATTACATGCATTACGTGAGATTATTCATCATGAAGGGTTTTCTGCTCTTTTCCGGGGTGTTTCTGCAAATATCCTTTTGGGTATGGCAGGGGCTGGAGTGCTAGCAGGGTATGATAAGTTGCACCGTATTGCTTATGGACATGGTTATAGGTTCGAGCCTTACAATAAGTTGCGAAAATGAAGTGTATAAGATTCTTGCTTTTGTACAGCTTCAAAGTATACTTAATTGTATCCCCATTGATTTTTCACAAAGGTTTTCAAATCATTCAGAAGGAAAAATCACAGCCAAAAGAGTAGGAAATATAAGTCTCATACTCATTGAATCTTCATTATTGATGCCATCAACAAATGTTTGTTCATAATGGCAATCCCAATTGTATCAACTGTATAGTTTCACCAGATCATATTAATGTAACTGCTTCTCTTTTATTCCTATGTGTTCAAATGCTTCCTTGTTCATGTTAGTATAGTCCGGCTAATTCTGTCATGGAGCTCTGAAACAGAACTGCCTGTCTGATGATGCCTGATCTTTGGCTGGGCTTTGGGTTCCAGTCTGTTTCTTCTGGTTAGCTCTAGTACTTACAGACAGGTATCAGGCTCGATTATACTATAGTTTACTTATAATATCCGTATTGCTTTCTTTATTTCCACAAGTAATCTTTTTATTTTTATTTTTTTTTTATTTTGTGTTGAGTCATGGGGTCTATTATGACAAAATCTTCTTCATTTTTGTTTCTATTTTGTAGAAATGCTCCTTTGATCAATTAAGGTCAATCTGAAGTCTGAACTATGGAATACTAATGTCTTGTTTCTTTCTTTCTAAATTGTCATTTTGTGTATTATTACTCCTGGTAGATTTGATTCTTGATTAGTCAGAATCTCGTGTTATTTTTTTATTTAATATATATATTTTTTTAATCTAAGCTTCTGGTCCTCTCCTTCAGGTAATTCTGTGAAGTATTTATTTATTGTGTTCCTCTTATTCTTGATCACTATTCACCGGTCCTTATAAAGCTGATTCTACAACTAGTTTGATATACATATACTTTCCCAATGTGATGTAAGAAGGACAGGTTTCAGATACGAAATAGCATGACTTCATTTTCAGTTACGAAGTGCGGTGCAACATACTTGTCTTCATACCAGAAATTTCTGTGATTTTTGACACACTTACTACGCTATCAAGTATAGATGTCAATGGACAATGGTTTCAAACTTGTTAAGGGTGGAGCATTTTGCATTGTCAAGGTGGATTTCATAGCTTCTTATTGGTGAATATCCTTCTTTTGTCTACATGACAGTATAATTGCTAGAGTTATACTTATACCATTTGAGATGAAAAGTGAATTTAACTAGTAGTAAGATTGGAGTTTCGTCTGTAGCATAAATTAGTACTTTATGTTTTTCAGTAGTAAGAATATGTTTTAGTTTATTTTAACTCTGTTCTCATAACACTATAAATTAATTATGAGTTTTACAATGCAGTTTTTTTCTGGCTATCTGGGTGTTGAAGGCTTCACCAGACTATTCTTCTGGCATCCTCATCTCTGGTATAATTGGTCTAAGCTTTGGTGAGTCTGTCTTTACATATTTTTCTGATATCTAAGATGCTTTCTTATTCACTCTCTCATTTTCTGGCTATATAATACATTTCCTAACTATCTAAAGTGCTAAAGGCCCATATTGATTATACCATATAGTACTTCTTGAATCTTGAGGCCCAGCTTAAGGTGCACACCCTGAGGCACACAAAAAAAAAAATTCAGAATTTTTTTTTATGTTTATTATGTGCGCCTCACTTCAATGAGGCGCGCCAAGGCGAACAGAGGTGCATTTAAGGTGCAAGGAACTCTGAAACACCTTGGTGAGCCTTGAGCTTTTTTATACATTGCCTTTGAGTTCTTATATGTATGATGGTAATGCAGAAGCTATAGGTCTTTAATAACCTAACTTTCGGAGAGACCTTACTTTTTTGGAGAATGAGAGTGATTTATGTCGAATTCACTCTTACCCACCATTCCAGCCTCACAAACTCTTGAAATGAATGAATTAGATCTTCTTTTACCACACCCAGAAGACCTGGAATGACAGTTGAAAATTTTGATTTTTAGGGATTTGTGTTTCTACAACATTATGGTTCTTCTTATAGGGCCTTTCTAAACAAGCACTTATAGTACTTGCAATAGGAGATCAATTCAACCTAGGAGATCAATGGGAGTGATGTGTTGACTATTGGATTTAACTCTTTTTAACCTAGGAACATTTGGCTTGTTGCTCATGACTGATCCTCTTGAAATCATCATTTTCACCTGTATCAATCTCTCTAACAACCAATAATGGGTCGTAATGTTTCTTCAAAAATAAATAAATATATAAATAATGGGTTGTAATGTTTGCTACTTCTTTCTACAATATACAGTGGATCTAGATGAATGACTAACATGGTCTAGTAGCCTGGTCTAAAATGTCTCCAAAGCCCTAAATACCAACTGCGAAAGAGTCACTGGTGATAGATAGCAATGCAGAGTAGCAGATCCCACCAGCCATTTTTTCCCACGCCCTAAGCTCCAAAATTCTAGTCTCTGGTATTGAAAATGAGTTGCACATTGATGAATCTTCAACTAATAACGCTATGCATAGTCTCTGCCACAAACAAAATATGACTACCCCCTTGAAATTCTGTTACTAAATCTGATGATATATTACAGGTCATACATTGTTGAAGTGTGAGGATCCTAAGGAATAGATGGAGATGTTTCTGTAGGGTTTATAGTATTTTTTTTTTTTTTTAGTTAGCCTGAACTTGTAATTTTTCATAGCCTACAACAGAACAACTATTAGATAAAGAAAGGTTTCAATACTGAAATAACTAAATGGGAGGAAAACAAAAACTTAGATACTGTACTCAAGTCTTTGTATACACTAAAAACAAATATCCAGGATGAGCCTCTTTGCCCTTTTGTCCGGCTCTATATACCTAATAAAGGCCAATTCTCAAAAAAAAAAAAAAAAAAAAAAAGGCCAATTCTCTTTTACAAAGAAATGCTAGTAGAAAATTGTGATGACCCATATACCTTATCTGTAAAGTAACATGAGAAGTTTGCTGGTAAACCAGCTTTGAATTTTGATTTCTGTAGCTGTCACTCTGTTTCTGACAGTTTTCTTGATGGAAGAATGATGAATCCAAAGGTCCCATTGATGCTTTCAAGGATAGGTACTGTTTGGCCAAATATCAACTATATAGTAAGATTGTAGGTAATTTACAGATAAGAAAGTCCTTTGTGGCTAAATTTTAAGTACACTGGCTTTGTTGACAAAAAAATCGAGAGGATAGGACATATTGATTTATTGTTTCTCTTGACCCGTAGGAAAGCAAATGATGAAAAATAACCTTAGGTTCTGAACTGCATTAACACTTTCATATTAGTAAAGCAGAACTCAATTTTGGATCTTCTGAGACCTGAGTTATATCTATCATTCTTTCAGCAAGAACAATTGGTTTTTGAGTTTTGACTGGTTATTTCTTTGAATTTCGGTAGCATAAGCTTAAGTTTCAATTTAATTACTTTGATATGAGTCATAGGATTATCCAAATCTCTTAAAGAATGCTTGGTTAGGGTTACCAAGCCTCATATTAGTGAGGCTAACCTTTAATGGGGATCTGAATTCTGAGTATATTTAGCTATTTACTTTCTTTTTAATTTTATACAAGTATTTATTTTAATTTTTGGAGGTTATAAATTTTTAATTCAAACTTTGTTTCTAGAATTGCACTTTAAAATGTGAACTGTGAATAGCCGAAACTTCATTGATTTGCCATTATTCTCAGAAATTTATCAGACTTCGGTTTGTGCTGCTCTAAAACAGTTGGTAGATTATTCTCTGATCTTTGTTGTATAGTCCTATTTACATGGTTGATTCTCTTGATCCCCATGTATATATTTTGTGCACTTGTGAGTTGTCCCATGGTAGACAAGAGAGAATTAAGGGCCTTAAAAATTGAGGCCTTGCTTCTCCCCTTGCCAATTATTACAGATAAAACCTCTCACTTAAGTTTGTAACAATTCTCTCTTTTTTCGTGAGTGTGCAGGCCCATTTTATATCTGCTTTCAAAAATTTAGCTTAGTGTCAAATTCAAAGTTGGTTTTATGATAAATTTGGGCCTTTGATCATGCAAATGTTCAACCCCAACGACAATAGCTACTGTTTACCTTTCTAGTTTGCTCATGCATAAAGCACACTTTGATTTGAGGGGGCAGGGTTGCATCATAAACAGATGTCTTGTGCATGTGAGTTGTCTCATGTAGAAGAAGAGGTGAAACATAACCAACTTATAAGCCTAGGGAGTTATTGTTGCCATGGCTAATTGGTTCTGAGATAAAACTAACTCCTGCTTAAAAGTGGTCTCTCACTTCCATGTCTCATTTTAAAAATTTAACGGATAAGTGACCTGAGACTTGAAAGTGAGACATTCACTTTTGAATAGAGTGACTATGGATGAAATTTTCAGATTTACAATAATTGAATGATTTATGAACACCAAACCCCCTTTTGAGGGTTTGAGGCCAAACCTTCATTGAACCTACTGTTTTTAAATAAGAAAGCTAGGCCAAGAGCCAGAAATTCTTATGACGCTTAGTGGTAATCAAATAGCCACCTAGTTTTTTGCTCTTCCTCCTTACAGCAACTGTCATGCAATCAGCATTTTGGATGCAGTAATCTACAACGCTTCTTTTTCTTCCTGTCCATCTCATCCAAAATCTCCATGCTTTTGATCGTTTTCTATGTCCTAGTACCAGTAATGATGCCTTATGTTCCTTTGCTTGGCTCACTATTGTTGGACCTTTCTCCTTCCCTGCAAGTGCTACTATTTCCACCTGTACCTGTTCAGTGAAAGGAACCAGATTGATGCTGTTAGAGCTTGATTTGAGGTTTGGTGTATCACTCAGTTTGGTACCCTTTAAAATTTTGTCATCTGATAAACTCTGACATTAATGTTACAAATCTCATGGAGCTTGATAGTTCCATTGTACACTTTCAAAACAATATGATGGTTTTGATCCTCATAATAATCTTTTAGTTCTGACATTTAACTTTTTATTACTCATTGATTTATTGTGATATATATTGCCAAATTTGGTCTGTTAAAAGTTATAGAATGAGGATATTAAAGTGTCATCTTTCTGCAGGTCAATTCTTTTTGTCTTTACATAAAGCTCAGTATCCTTCTTTGATTCTTTCGTGTTTTTGTTGTGAATTTGTGATTAGTGTAACTCATACTATACCAATTGATCAGAGTAATGTGACATACCCCAGGTCTTCTGGATTGGCAGACGCTTCTCAGAGAGTAAAGAAGTCCATAAGCTTTTGGATCAATTTCACTCTCAGTATGTGAATCTGCATTAATAAAAAATTTGATATTAAGACAAACTTGCTCTGCATTATAGTATGCAAGTTTCATGAAATTAATCTGTGACTTTAAAAAAATTCCCCCTCCTATAAATTATATATTATGTATCTTGTTTCTATTTCAGACCGTCCCAAAATTATAGGTCACTTTTTACATTACGAATTATTAAAGCTGAACTTTGAACTACATTAGTATGATTGAGATGTAGACATATGAATAGAAATGGATAGTATTAAAATTCTAACTAGTTTTGTTAAATTTGACAATTCAAATGTGACTTTAATGACAGGATGGAGATGAATTTACCGCATTTTGTTGGCTTGGCTAAATGAAGAAGAATAACAGTGTCCTCCTTTTGAACAGTATGGGATAATGCCCATTGAAGAGCACCCTTAGCCTGTAAGGTTGCATCTACAACAATCATGATCCTGTTTCCCTCCTTGGGTTCACCCTTTTCAGAATTTTCTTCACTGCTGAAGCTCGATCCACACTCATTTTCAAAATACTCACTCTTGTCACTTTTGATAGAATTATAAGCTGGATTGGATTGCAGCGGTGGTGAACGAATCCGAGCTTTACTTATTTTAAAGCAGGATCCCGGAATTTTGGTATGTACTCTCACCATTCTCTCTTTTCTTTCTGAAGGCAATGACAGTACAAAGAAAACTTAAGTGTTTTCAGATTTGAATATAACCAACAAGAATGTTCAGAAAACTATACTTTATATAGTTATATTCTTATATATCTGACAAAGGGGACATAATCTGTTAATTAATAATAACTAATATCATAATTATATGGTATATCTTTAGAAGGGCTTAGTCAACTTTGCAAGTGAAATGACAGAATAGGACAGAATGTGGTGAGGCATACATTTAGAGGCGTAAGACGTGCTCACCTTTGTGTTTAGATTCTCTGAAGACTTTGAGACTCCACTGTTTAAGTTAGGGTGTGATTTTCTGGTTGGTGTATTTTGTTTTTTTAGGGTATTTTCTTTAATGTGGGACATATCCCATTAAACGTGCTAACCATGAAGGTATTTAGGTGTTTAAGTGCAAGTCCCACGCCTGCTAAGATTTCTTAGTTGTATTGATTAGTTTTGAGGTGTTGCATTGTTAATTTCTGTATTTTTTTGACCTTTCGTTGATTTCCAACCGTGTGATGTGCATCCTACTCTGTCTTTAATCTTTTATATTCGCGATTTTTTCTAATCCTAATCATAGAATACATACAGGATAACCTTAATAATCTTGGTAACGACCTACTAATGTTATTTTTTTAAAGGTTAGAACTTTCAACTTGCTACAGCAGAACCACAGCTCGGATGAACTCGTTCTTGTAAAACTCACATGTAACCGTCTTCTTTAAATGCTGGTGGCTACAGACTGTTTGTTTGGAGTTTGTTCTTGCCTTTAGTTCAGACCTAAAAGAGGACTAGTCATGGTCAGCTATTGTCTACAAATTATGTGGACCGTTTCCGGGCCCGGACTTGGGTTGGATAGGTGCCAAATCAAAATCTGTTTGTTGCTTCAATTCTTACCATCCTTCCCACCTTACCTTAGCCTTTTAAAACTTGTGCAGAATTATCTTTATTATTGACATTGATCGACTTTCAAAGCTTATACACCTTCGTGGAGGGCAGGAAAGATAATTTAGACAAACAATAATAGGTTGGGTCAATCAGTCAACTGTGACTTATCACAGCAATTGCATTAAACACAAATTATCATTGTTAAGATTTGACTAAAATATAAGGTGTAGAACCTTCCTGAATTGTTTAAATTTTATAATTTTTTTTTTTTTTTGAAACAATTTTATAATTATTTAAACTTTAGTAAATTAATAGTTATCCCATTATTTTAGTTATGTCACTACAAATTTTCTAGGTAAAAAAAAAAAAGAATAATAGATTTTATATTGCTTTAAGCGCCGGTTTAGTATATGCAATGTATATTGTTGTTTCTTTGTCTTTACATGTTTTTTATTCTTAAGAATAAATTGCATGAACATAAATAATTTGATCTTATATGAGACGGCAAAACCTAAAAAATAAGTATGGCAATTTAAACTATTTTTTATTTATTTTTAATGAGTGCTTGAGTCGTGAAAAATATGTAACAAATGCACTTGCACCTGCGTTGTATAAACCCTGTAAAAATGTGCACATGTGAGACAAAACTACTTGACCACCAAATCAAATACTAGTATTCTAGTACCACTGTACCAGTCCAATATTTATTTTGGCACTCTTATGATTTAGGGCCTGTTCTGATTGACTGAACTCAACTGAACTGAACTGAGTTGAGCTGAGCTGAGCTGAGCTGAACTGAACTTATTAATTAGTGATTTTTAACTATGGATTAGTGATCTTTGATTATTTATTACTATACGTATGTGTATATACAAATGTATATATTATTATTAATATTATTATTATTATTATTAATTATTGATTATTATTATTATTATTATTATTATTACTATTGTTGTTGTTGTTACTATTATTATTATTATTATTATTATTATTATTATTATTATTATTATTATTATATTATTATTATTATTATTATTATTATTATTATTTATTGATGATTATTATTATTATTGTAGAAATGTATAATACTCCCTTGCCAGCAGCTCTTCTCATTCATCCAGTATATATAATGTGTACAACCAAGAGTATATGAAAGGACTCATAATTACAAACATAATGACATAGAATGATTATATTCACTAATGGTTCATATTCACTAACACACCCCCGCAGTCGAAGCGGGAGGAGGTCGTACGCTTAGACTGGATCGAAAATCGAGAAAGAGTTGTCGAGGTAGCCCTTTGGTGAAGATGTCTGCGTATTGAAAAGGGGAAGGAATGTGAAGCACTCGAACCTCACCCCTAGCAACCTTCTCACGGACAAAATGGATACCCATCTCAACGTGTTTCGTCCTTTGATGTTGAACTGGATTGCTAGATAAATAAACAGCAGACACGTTATCACAATAAACCAAAGTGGCTGACTGAATGGGACAATGGAGCTCCAATAGGAGGTTTCGTAGCCAACATGTTTCGGCCACAACGTTAGCAACACCTCGATACTCAGATTTCGCACTAGAGCGGGATAATGTGGCTTGACGCTTGGCCGACTAAGAGACGATGTTGTCACCTAAGAAGACACAATACCCGGATGTGGAGCGACGGGTGTCGGGGCAACCCCCCAATCGGCGTCGGAGAAGGAGACCAACGTGGTTGGAGAAGAGCGGTATAGGTGAAGACCGTGATCAAGTGAGCCCTTGATATAGCGCCAAATCCGTTTAAGAGCATTAAAATGTGGCTCTCGTGGGGCATGCATAAACAAGCAAATTTGTTGTACGGCAAATGCAATATCGAGTCTTGTGAATGTCAAATATTGCAAAGCCCCAGCGAGACTACGATACAATGTTGGGTCACGAACCGGGTCACCAAAATCTGCACTTAGCTTGGACTTTGAGTCAGCAGGAGTAGCTACTGCCTTGCAATCGGTCATATTAGCACGGGACAAAATTTCTTCCGCGTATTTACGCCGAGATAGGAACATGGTGTCCTTGGTACGAGTGACTGAAATGCCAAGGAAAAAATATAATTTCCCCAAGTCTGACATTAAAAATTCTGATTTCAACATATTGATCAGATTATTTTTTAATACGTCGGAGGAAGCAGTCAACACAATGTCATCGACGTAGAGCAGTAAGTAGGCGGTGTCATTGCCGTGCCGATAAACAAATAGAGAATTATCACTCGTACTACAAACAAAACCAATTTGCACAAGGTAAGTAGCAAACCGTTGATACCAAGCTCTCGGGGCTTGCTTTAAACCATATAAAGATTTCCGAAGTAAGCAAACATGAGTCGGAGCCTTGGGATCAACAAACCTGGGTGGTTGGTGCATGTAGATAGTCTCGTGAAGATTTCCATGAAGAAAAGCATTCTTAACATCAAGTTGGTGTATAGGCCAATCCTTCCCCATATCAATACTCAAAACAGTACGAATTGTCGCCGGTTTGACAAGCGGGCTAAAAGTCTCATCACATTCAATACCCACTTGTTGAGATTTCCCATTAACAACAAGTCTAGCCTTGTACCGTTCAAGATCACCATTTTCCCGAAACTTATGCTTGAATAACCACAGACAACGTATAACGTTGACCCCCTCTGGTCGTGGGACTAAATCCCAAGTGTGTTGCCCAATTAGAGCATTATACTCCTCTGTCATGGCTGCATTCCAATATTGGTCTTGCATGGCAATTTTTGGATTTTTTGGTATTGGAAAAATAGCCTGCAAAGAGAGATTAAAAGGCACTTTAATCTTGAAAATGCCATGCTGGGCCCGTGTGGTCATAGAGTGGGTTGGGATAATGGGCCTTGGGGGGGGGGGAGGTTGTGGTGGGTTAGGAGATGGGCTGCCAGGTGAGGTTTGCTCCAGCCTAGAACCGTGAGGGGAGGGAGTAGCACGATTGGGCTGGTTTGGGGTAGTATGTGGTGAGGAATTGGGTTGGGCAGGAGTAATAATTGGAGTGGGCTGGGCCGTGTGAAAGAGAGGGGAGAGCAAAGGGGGCTGGTCATTGCTCAAGAAGGAATAATCAGATTCCTTGAACTGATTAATGTTAGTAAAAGGGAAGATTGACTCATTGAATGTAACATGGCGAGATATGATAATTTTATTTGTAGATAATTCGTAGCATAGGTACCCACGATGATTTGATGGGTACCCGAGAAAAACACAAGGGGTACTACGAGGAGCTAATTTGTGGGAGTTAGTGGAGGACATATTCGGGTAACACAAAGAGCCGAAAGTCCGAAGATGGTCGTAAGATGGAATACGACGATAGAGAATTTCAGTAGGTGTCTTGTGTTGGAGAGTGCGAGTGGGAAGAATGTTTAGTATGTAAGCCGCAACATGGGATGAGTAAACCCAAAAAGAAGGAGGAAGAGAAGCATGAAAAAGGAGAGTTCGGGACATGTTATTGATAGTACGAATAATCCGTTCGGCTTTACCATTTTGTGAGGAAGTATTAGGACAAGAAATCTGGAAAACCATACCATGGGTTGCACAAAAGGTATGAAAAGGGGTATTGTCGAACTCTTGTCCATTATCACTCTGGAAGGATTTAATTTCTTTTTCAAATTGGGTTTTAACATAGGCCCTAAAGTTGAGAAAAATAGAATAGACTTGTGATTTAAACTTAAGAGGATAAACCCAAACAAAGTGAGAAAAATCATCCAAAAGTACGAGAAAATATTTGTGACCCAATTTGCTTACAATAGGGGAAGTCCATAGATCCGCATGGATATGTCAAAAGGAGAGTAAGTTACACTCAAAGAGGACTTAAAAGGAAGTTTAACATGTTTGCCTAAAGGAAAAGAGTAGCAAAAATGGGTACGAGCCCCCTTATTACAAGAAATTAATTTCCTGTTTTTAAGAGCTTGGAAAGCTTGATTTCCGGAATGTCCAAATCTACTATGCCAAGTAGAAGAAGAGATAGCGGCTAGAGAGACCGGAGTAGTGGTTGTAGAGGCGGAAGGCGATGAGAAAGGGTAGAGATCCCCCACACTATTGCATCTCGTTAGAATTTTCCCCGAAGTGAGATCCTTCACAGAAAAATCAAAAGGGTCAAATTCAATGGAAACGGAATTATCACTAGAAAATTTTCTAGCAGAGATTAAGTTTTTTATTATATTAGGAGTATAAAGAACATTGTTTAATGTGAATGGTGGGTTAGGTGGGGGAATATAAGCTGTGCCATGACCTTTAATCGGAATGCGATTGCCATCACCAACTAAGATAAAATTGTGATGATTAGAGGGAACTAGAGTAGAAAGAGTACCGGAGTCACGAGTTAGGTGAGAGGTGGCGCCGGTGTCCATATACCAAGAAGAATCCGGTGGCTGAAGAGACATGGAACTATAAGCTTGACCCAAGTCAGTTGGGCTCATTAGTGCCCCGAGTACTGCTGTTGAGGCCCAAAGGAGTAGTAGGCTTGAGGTGGCTGATTTCGTGGGCCAGGACCAAGAACTCCTTGTCCCCTATGTTGCTGACCAGTGAAGGGAGAAGGAGAAGTAGGATATGGGCAAGGAGGGGTAGCCCATTGACCATTGGGCTGCCATTGTTGCTGTCCGGCCCATTGAGGTTGGGAGGCTGGGCCTTGTTGCCAAAATGGCTGAGATTGCCATTGTTGACCTTGGGAATTATACCCATGTCCAGGAGTACGTCCCCCACGACCCTGGCCTTTGCCTCCACGCCAGGGCTGCTTCCCTCGGCCGCCGCGACCACCACGCCCCCCACCACCAGTACCACGGGGTGGCTGCTCTGTCGGCTGGAGAGTGCTCGCCGGAGATGAAGGAGGAGCAGACGAGGTGGCGACGAGGGCTTGTTGCGAGTGTTCTTCTTGTTTGTTCTTGCGGGTCTCTTCAAGCAGAAGTTGGGAGCGAGCCTTAGTAAAAGAGGGTAAAGGATCTGCTTGTTGGATCATTGTGGCGATTGTGTCATAGTCGCCCTTAGGTAGGCCCTTTACTAACTGAAGAACCATTTTTTCGTCGGTAACTAGGGTACCAACATTGCCCAATTGATCAGCGAGCACCTTGATCTGCTTACAATAGTCAAGCCATATTTGTAAAATTTTCCAATCGAGTTCCGGTGAATTGTTCATCGAGGTAGACAGCTCTAGTATTTTTGTTATCCTGAAAAATTTCCTCCAACCGTGTTCATAAATCAAGAGCCGATGCGCCGGGTTTCATGATGGTGTGAAGAAGATCCTTGGAGATAGTGCCATAAATCCATTGTTTGACAACCGCATCTAAACGCGTCCAAGTGGTATCATCGATGTTCAAAGGCCGGGAAACAGAGGAATCAATGTGATCTAGGACATTGTAAGCACAAGCATGAATGTGAAAGAGTTCGACCCACGAAGCGTACTGGCTGTCTTCATGATCAAGAACAAGGGGGATGAAGTTCTTGATATTGTTTACGGCAAGGGCAGGATGGAACGAGGAAGACGAAGGGGGAGGAGGAGGGGGGGGGTATCTTCAACGGCCATGGCGGGGAAGAGGAAAGGAAGCCAGGAAAAGGAAAAGATGGAGAAAAATTAAGATGGTTGTGATACCATGTAGAAATGTATAATACTCCCTTGCCAGCATCTCTTCTCATTCATCCAGTATATATAATGTGTACAACCAAGAGTATATGAAAGGACTCATAATTACAAACATAATGACATAGAATGATTCATATTCACTAATGGTTCATATTCACTAACAATTATTTATTGATTATTATTATTAGTATTATTATTTCAATTATTATTGTTATTATTATTATTATTATTATTATTATTATTTATTGATTATTATTATTATTATTATTATTATTATTATTATTTATTACTTATTATTATTATTATTATTATTATTATTGTTATTATTATTGTTGTTGTTATTATTCTTATTATTCTTATTATTGTTGTTGTTGTTGTTGTTGTTGTTAACGTCGTCGTCGTCGTTGTAATAAGAGTTTAAAAGAATGAAATTTGACTTTATATCATTAGCAATATCATTAGACGTAAATTAAGAGCTGAACTGAACTGAACTGAATTTCAACGGAAGAGAACAAACCCTTATTTTAGGGAAATTCCCATTGGTACACCCGTGGTTTTGACTTTTCTCATTGATACACTCCAAAATTTTTGTCTTCCCATCGGTACACCCATGGTTTAGTCTTTTTCCCAACCGTGACTAACACCGTTAACAAGTATTTCATTAAGTTAAAATAATTAAGGAAAAGACTATAATACCCCTTTTAAATATCTAATGTCTCGATTTGCGTGTCGAAAATTGTTCGGTTAAATTTTTGGGAGTCCTAGTCGTTAAGGATCTAAATTAACCTCGAAATTAGCAAAAAAATAACTCAAATGTCTCATTTGCGTGTCAAAAAATGTCTCGATTTGCGTGTCATTACTTTTTTGTGATAGTAATTGTTCGGTTAAAGTTTTAGGAGTCATTTTGACCCTTTATGGGTCTAAATCGAACTCGAAATTGTCAAAAAAATCAACAAAAATATCTCATTTTGCACGTCATGATATCTTTTTTGTTTTGTCATGACACGCAAAACGAGACCTTTTTGTTAATTTTTTTACAATTTCGAGTTCGATTTAGATTCTTAAGGGATCAAAATGACCCCTAAAACATTAACCGAACAATTACTATCACAAAAAAATAATGGCACGCAAACCAAGACATTTTTGACACGCACATGAGACATTTGCACTATTTTTTTTTGCTAATTTCGAGGTTTAGATCTTTAAAGACTAACATGACTTTCAAAACTTTAACCGAACAATTTTCGACACGCAAATCGAGACATTGGATATTTAAAAGGAGTATTATAGTCTTTTTCTTAATTATTTTAACTTAATGAAATACTTTTTAACAGTGTTAGTCACGGTTGGGAAAAAGACTAAACCTTGGGTGTACCGATGGGAAGACAAAAATTTTGGAGTGTATCAATGGGAAAGTCAAAACCACGGGTGTACCAATGAGAATTTCCCTTTATTTTAACACCCTTCTTTAGTTCTTTATAACAAATTGTAAGTCGCTGTCACAAAAAAAAAAAAAAAAAAAAAAAAAACCTATTGTAAGTAGTGCACATACATACATAACTGTGCTCTCAACTGGATTGTTAAAATTATATCTCGTGTACTTAAACTGCAGAAATATATACAATTTAATTTAATTGTGCGGATATAGAATGAGTGCCCCGTCAATAAGGCGGGGCAAGACAGATGTTGGTTTTCTCATCCCCATCTTACATTTTTATACCCATCCCCATTCCGACCCCGTGACGAGTCCAAAATTTATCCCCATCTCGTCCCGTCGGGTACAATTCCAAACCCATCCCCTCCCCACTTAGATATCCACCCTCACTTAATAATCCCACTCAAGACCCGCCTAATTTGCGCCTCCTAAATACTACAATTATAACTAAAAAAAATCATTATCAATGATGCACCTTTTTAAAAAAAAAATATTAGTATAAAACAATGTATTATATATTTATTAAACTAATTTAAAAAACATTTATAATATAAAAATAACATAAAAGTATACAATCTTATTTTTTAAATATATAGTTGTGGGGATGGGACGGGTACAAAGGGGGGCGTGTGGGGCGGGACGACAATGGGGCGGGATGAGGATAAAAACCATCTCCGCCCCATCACCTGCCGAACCGGGATTGATCCCCGCCGGCGGGTCTCCTACTACTGCCCCTATCGGATATGGGCTAAAGCTCTCCAACAATGTTATTTCGATTAATGGTTTGAAATGGCTTCAAAAAAGGTCAACTTTGTTAAGCCGTCATAGACTAACACTAAACTTGCAAATTCATATTCACACTATCGTTCTAAGAACCTCGGAAGGCCAGAAGAACATCAATCAATTAATAATAATAATAATGCCGGCTTATCCTAGCTGTATCTAAATTGAGTTGTGAACAATATTAAATGAAAAATGACTTGCTTTAATTCCATCAGTCTTTTCTTCTTTTCTGTTCATGAAAATTCCCTCATACAAGTATTACTTTTCCACAACCAAGTCAATATTTATAACTTTGTGTTGTAATTGTTTGATTTTTTTGGACATTTGATTGAGATTGTTTTTGTAAAAACACAATATATTAGTTTGGCAGTTTTGCATTTTGTGTATTATGCGAATAAGGATCTACTGTAGTTTATCTTTATAACTTTCTCTTATCATTATTTTGTTAAAAAAAAAAGGAAAAATTCTCGATAGTGCTCATGAAGTTTTTATTTTTCTCAATGGTAAACAACAAAATTTTTAATTATCATTGGTAATCATCACTTATTAATATATATCAATAATAGCATTAATGATATATTTTGATTAAACTCTTTAACTAGGGTTAGTTTATGATTTTTTGTGTAACAATTAAATAAAAAAAAAAAAAACAGCCACCACCAACTGCCAACCTTCCTCTCTGCCACCACTTCCTTGCCCTGGCACCACTGACGCCACAACCGTTGGCACCCAAACCCTACCATGTCGGCGCGCCGACCTTCCCAGCTGCCGCCTCGCCCCCTAAACCACCACCCATCCCCGAAACTCCCTCACACTCTCTCTCTCATCGAAACCCCTAGATCCCTTCCCTGGGCTGAATCACCTCCCCCTTATCGCCGCGATCAAACCACCCAATCCCCCTTCTTCATCAGCGCCAAACAATAATTTCCAAAACCCTCCTTCCACCCCTTAACACCACCTGCTGTGCCGCCATTACAAATCAAACAATCTAGAATCCGGCGACGAAATTCAACCCGTCTTGAAACATAAGCCGTTGAACCATAATCCATTAATCTACGAAATCCAACCCGAATAATAACTCACTGACCTGGATGTCCCGATGGTAAGTTCTGAAACTCAGTCACAATCGACGTTGATCCCGACTCGTCTGAGGAGAGATAAACCGCCCGAGTGTATCCCTTCTGCCGGCGAATTCGCCGAAGTTCAATGTGGGTTTAGGGGTTTATCATGGGGGAGGGAGGGGGTTTTGGGGAAGGGGAGCAGTGGCGGACCCAGGAATTTCCGACTGGTGAGTCACAATCGATAATCAAGTATCTAAAAAAAAAAATTTACCGAACAACCAAATAATAGTACTAAAAAATACATCCAAATATTCAAAACAGTACAAAATACAACCAAATGTTCATATAATACTACAAACGACAACTAAATAGTAATGCAAACTTATTACAAATTACAATAGTTCTCGACGAGTTTTCATGTTTTGATATCGATTCATGATATCTTCCATGCTAACATTCAAAAACAAATCATTCTCCAAATAAGTAATTAAACAATCATTCAACATTTGATCTCCCATGCTATTTCGTAGTTTGTCTTTCACTTGCTTCATGCCAGAAAATACCCTTTCCACACTTGCCGTTGCGACAGGAAGAAGCAACACCAACTTCAAAAGTAAATAGACCCTATCATGAGTTTCAGACAATCCCGTTTCAACCAATTTGATTGAAAGCTCACTAAGACCCTTCAAATTCCAAAACCTGTTATCTCCTCTAACAGAACAAATGTAACTCTCAAGTGTATGACCAAAGACTATCAATTCTGAACTTGGAAATTCATTAGGATAGAATTTTGCAAGCTTAATCAATTTTTCCTTGTCAAACTTAGAAAAACGATCCACAGGACTCAAACAAGACATACACACAAGTAGTTCTTTAGTTATTTCGGGAAATCGATTTTCAAGTTCTTGCAATTGAAGATCAATGACACCAAAAAAAACTTCAACTCGAAAATGATGTAAATTAGACACTTGTGGGCATTTACCTCGAAACAACCTCCTCCCGGGAACAACATATTTAGCCTCCATATCTGGAACTGCAATGTCATAGTCACCACTAAAGCAAGCAAAATTCCCCAGAAAAATTATTTACAAAGATCATTTTACCAAACAAACCACAATTCACATAATCACATATTCACATGGTCAAAAAGGTTCAAATTTCATCTAAAACCCAACAACATTATTACATTAAGGTCATTACTCATTAACAAAAGGTTCAAAGTTTACCAAACAAACAAGTGATTGAAGACTTGAAGTGAACAACTAACAAATCAACCAAAGTTTAATAGAATTAACTAATTAGACTTGATTAAATTGAAGATTAGAATTTTAAACTAAAAATTAGAAATCAACTTACTAGCAAAATGAGAATAGGAGATTAGACTTTAGAAGAAGCGACGAAGCGAAGAGCGGTGAGCGCAGAGCACGCTCTCGACTCTCGAGCAGTGGAGCAGGGCAGCAGGCGACTGCCGACTAGGCGAGCAGCAGGCCAGCAGGCAGTATCACAGCTTGAACAATTAACAAATTCACCATTTCACAGCTTGAAATCACAAGCTCACAGGGCAGCAGGCCAGCATCACAGCATCACAGCTTGAACAAGTATGTAAAGTGTCAATTGTCAAACATTTCACAAATTCACCATTCAGAATTTCATTGAACAATTCACAAAATCACAACAATTAGGGATTATTGAAATTGAGTTGATTATTGAACAATTGAGTTGATTATTGAACAATTAGGGATTTAGGGTTCAAAGAATCAAATTTAGTATTACTAATTCATAACTAACAAGTAATATCAATTATCAACAATTAAACAAATTTAGATGAAGACTAAGTTAATTAATTAATTTATGCGAAGAGGAACTGAGGAAGACGAAGAGGAACTAAAGTGTCAAACATTTCACAAATTCACCATTCAGAATTTCATTGAACAATTCACAAAATCACAACAATATATAACAAAATTAACAATTAACAATAATCAGTACTCAGTAGGCGTCTAGGCAGCGTCTAGGGCCACTGGGCGTCTAGCGATTAGCGAAGCAATCAAGCAATTATCAAGACAATCAAGTTATCAAGTTATCAACAATTAAACAAATTTAGATGAAGACTAACTGAGGAAGACGAAGAGGAAGACTAACCTCACCTGAATTTATGCGAAGAGGAAGACGAAGGGTCGAAGGCACGAACTGCGAGTCTGCGAAGAGGAACTGACTAACTGAGGAGTGAGGAAGATGCTTACTTGCGAAGTTGCGAGTTGCGAACTGCGAAGAGGAGGACTGGAGGAGGCGATTATGGAGGTGAATAGGTGATTGATGATGGCGAAGGATTGAAGCCTTGAAGGGAATTAGGGAAGAGGCGAATTGGCTAGGGCATGAAGGATTGAAGGCCATGAACTGAAATACTGAATTCGTGAATTTGGGAAAACTGATTTTTTTTTTTTTTTTTTTTTTTTTTAAAAAATTAACTTAAAATTTTTTTTTGGGCCTGGTGAGTCACTTGACCCACCAGGTCTAAGCCCAAGTCCGCCACTGAAGGGGAGTTGGGTGGTTCAGAAGGTTGCGACGGGGAGGGGGGTTAAGTGCGTCGCTGGGGAGGTGGTCTGAGCAGGATACAGCCGGTGTCGGGCCGGAAGTAGAGGGAATGGGGATGGGCGTGGTGGGGGTGGGGGTGGCGGGCTGGGTTTCTCTTTTTTTTTTTTTTCTTATAAAAAATTATTTTTTAAAGTATTTAATTATTAAAAAAATAAAAAAAAACTAACCATAGTTAAAGATTTTAACCAAATTATATCATTAATGTTATTATTAATATATATTAAAAAGTCATGATTACCAAAAATAATTAGAATTTTTGTTGTTTACCATTGAGAAATTTGAAATGTTGACGAACACCATTAAGAATTTCCCAAAAAATAATAATCACCCGTAATTCTTAATATTGGTGTGGTGTTACAACTTTATGACCGCTTTGTAAGCTCTCTCTTTAAAGTATTTGTATGTATATAATAAAGGAAAATTTATCAGAAAAATCCTTTTAAGTATGTCTTTTTATTGTAAAGGTTTTTTTATATATAAAAAAAAGGTGATACAGAAAGTCCTTTTATGGCTGTGAAAAGGTTTCTTTGACTGGATTTCAACCAATGCCTTTTTTTTAGCCAAAAAAAGTCATGTGTGCTATATATGACCACTAAAGATCTTTTTTTTTTTTTTTTTCCCTTTTCCCCCTCATCTGGTTCGATTTGTCTTCAATTGCTTTCAATTTTAATGTGTAGAGACTAGAATCTTAGTTTGATGATTTTTTTTTTCCACAAAATAGGTTTGCATTGAGGTTGACGATGAAGAATTAGAGTTTAATTGATGATTTACTTTTTTTTGTCACAAAAACGGATTTTTGTGCAAGACATGTGAATTTTTTTGGTAAAAATAAAAAGGTTATTTGTCGGAATAAAGTCAAAGGACACTCGTAACTTAAGTGTGATAAAAGGACCTTTTGTGCAACCTTTTTTTTTTTTATAAAATAACCTTTACAACAAAAATACCTATTTAAAAAGACTTTTCTGACAAATATTCCTGAAATAAATGTATGTTGATAATAATGATTAGCCATAATACCTTTATAAAAAATATCAAAAAATAATTATACTTGTATATATTAAGGGTCTGTTCTCTTACGTTGAAATTCAGTTCAGTTCAGTTCAGTTCAGCTCCTAATTTCCTTCTCTTATAAAATATTCAGTTCAGTTCAGTTCAGTTGAGTTCAGTTAATGAGAACAGACCCTAATACATATAATCTAATAGTGGTAGAGCTTAACAAATAAATTTCATAGCTAGGAAGTAGAAAATGGTTTTTTGACACTAGATCATGGTCTTTATTGTCTCATTGTCTCTTTTAGTAGCCTTTCGATTTTAAAGGGTCTAATGATCCGTCATATTCCATCCAATAATGATTGTAGTAACAATTTATTTTGGTAATATTCGATAACCATGATATTATACTCCGTAGGAATTTAGAACCATGACATTTGATTCCAAATTTAATGTTTATGAAATGGTAAATTGAATTTCAAATTATACAAATGTTAGTTATGATAGGAAAATTTTCACTTTTGCTACCACTCAAACACCTCTGTTTCACTTTTGCTACCACTCAAATACCCCTGTTTCACTTTTGTTACCAATCTAAAATTTTATTTTATTTTGCTACCACCTAAAATCACATAATTTAAAATTCACTATCACTATACACTTTCTATTATAATTTTCGGAAATGAGAACCAACCACTTTCACTGTCACCTTTCGACCAGCACTCCCTCCTAGCCACCCTAACTGCCTTTCCGTCAACCACCATTTTTTTTTTTAAAAAAAAAATAAATAATTGAAAACCCAGCATAAAAAAAATAAAAAAACAAAAAAGTCAGCACCTTCCCATCACCTACCCTCCCCCGGGCAGCTGGCGCCTAAGCTTTGGCCGACGTCGGCGACCCCACCCTTATCCCTTTCCCCGAAAATCGTCACCTCTAACCCTAAACGACCGGCCCGAATTCAAAACCACCCTAAACGGATTTTAGGGTTTCGCTTATGGTGGTTTAAGTGTGGTGGTTTAGGGCTAAGGGTGGCCGAAAAGGATAGGGGAAGGAGAGGCGGTTCAATTCCGGTGATGGGAATGGAGAGGGGGTCGTTCCGGTGGGGAAAATGGGGAGGTCAAGGTCGATGGTTTCTGGTTTGGGGTTAGGTTTAGACAGCAAGAAGGGGAAAAGGAAAGGGGGGTTGGCTGTGTAGGTGGGGGAAAGGGAGTGGGGTGGGATCGCTGGTCGAAGCTTTGGGCGCCGGCCACCGGCAGTGGAGAGGGTGGTTGACGGGAGGGGCTGGGTAGATGAGGTCATGAGGGTGGCTGAGTTTTTGTGTTTTTTTTAAATTTTTTTTAATAAACTTAACGGATCCTAACGTGGTAGTGAATTTTAAATTATGTGGTTTTAGGTGGTAGCAAAATAAAATAAAATTTTAAATGGGTAGCAAAAGTGAAACAGGGGTATTTGAGTGGTAGCAAAAGTGAAAATTTCCTTATGATAATGCTAGGTAAATAAGTGAGCAACAAACAGTTATCTATCCATGGCATAGCACCATTTCCACAAGACCACAACAAACCCAATTTTCCCTATTCTGCTCTCCTCCAGCCTTCATCTCCTCCCACCTTTCATGTTGCTTCACTTAGCTACTCTCTGTCGCGTCTTTTGTGTGCCTTCCAGGCAAAGCAGATGTTCCTTGTCAGCAGTGTTCTTCCTCCTATGCTGTAGCTATAAGACAAGATAAATCGGAGCTACACTATAAACCACACTAGGCATATGATCGCGTTTGTTCTCCAGTTCTGATACAAGTTGTGTGGGTCAGAACTCACAAGCTAGACGTACTCGCAACTAGTGGAAAGATAATTGAACACGAGTTAAATGAGAATCCATCTTAAATGTAATCATCTTGGTTTTATGCTTCCTTCAAAAAAAAAAAAAAAAAAAAAAAAAATCTGGGTTTTCTGCTGTACAAAATGTCTTTGTATATCAAAGCACATTCGTTCATAAACCAAACTCAAACATCATCCAAACCAATAGCTAGCTAGTTAGTCCCCACATTTTCCTAGTTTTCTTTAGTCAAAATTTTTCCGGATTTCCTGTTATTTTTCTTTTCCTTCTACGTCTACAATATAATAAAATGACCACTAATCTTTTTTTGATGCAAGATGCATTGATGTGAAAAAAAAAAAAAAAAAAACCAAACAAATAAACAAACCGAAAATATACAAAACAAACAGATGAAAAAAATTAGCCTAAAGCAGATATTATGTACATCAACTGAATACCTTTATTTTATGCTGCATCCATTTCTCCCAAACCCATGGAATTCAGAGATACTCACTGAAGTCTTCCATTGCAGTTTCAGCAAAAACCGAAAAGATACAAAACATTACCTAACCATCTTTGTTTTACCTTTATACATCAACAACATTTCTAGCCAATACTATTATACAAAGTGCACAGATGCAGCATTATCTTAACTTGTTTCCCTGATGTCTAAACTCGAAGATAATCATCTTTCTGCTTTTACTGGTCAGGCATGTGGTTGAGCATCCAGGATGGAATAAGGGTAGAGTTGTTGCTTCGCGTTGGTGGCTGTGTTGCTTGATCGTCTTCTATAGCACTTCTGCCTGTCCCTGGTCTGCATTTCAAGCATTAAATACATTCAGTTTATGGATAAAGAAGCAATCATATACCTGTACAACATCATAATAATCGCGGTAGGAACACACATTAAGGACTTTTGAAACAAATCAAAATTAAACTAGGGTTGGCTAGTTACCCTAGCTACATTGTCATTGATTTATAGCTCATTTAAAGATAATTATAACCCCATCAAAATCCTTTCCCTAAACTATTGCTTTAAAGTTCTATCATGTCGTTCCCACTAGGGTTGGCATCGTCCTCAAAGGTCAACCAAACATTTTCCATCATATTCCTACACAACGTGTGACACTCCAATACACCATATGATCAAGCTTTTCTACTAGCACACCATTTTTTTCCTCTAAATTCGGAATTTGACATGAAAACTACATGTAACTGATACAAGTGTGAAAAAGTGTGCGTTGCTAAATTTCATAATTTGACTTTAAAAGGATACATTAATAATAGAGAAAATAGCAGAAATTAACACAATAGGTCATTGAGGACTGACCCTATATTCATTGAGGGCAAAGCCTGAGACATGAGCACAGATGAGTTATTGTCATGTTTATGCTGATCCGGTTCAGGCTGCTGAGCCAACGCCTTCTCTCTCTCCTTCACCTATTTTTAGTTTAGTATACATTGTTCATCTTTAGCAACGCAACATATCAAAAGAAAGGTTACAAGAACTTAAGATTGAACATTTTTTTTAAGGTATGAAAAAGAGAGAACTTCTAATTTGAAGTCCTAAAATTGAATTGGTTCATGAATCATGATATAATACCTTCTTGGTTAGCAAGTTGTTGTGATCCTGTAAGGCTTTGTCCTGTCGTTTTAAAATGAAGTTATTAGGATACTACAATTTTTTGGAATTTATTTTCGCGATTATATGCTTTGTCTAGGGCTGCATACCTTCTTCTGAAGCTGAGAAATTGACTCATGCATGAGTTGATTCTGCAAAGATGAACAAATTTGTTAGCTTATTTGCTTATATCTTCTCTAACCAAGCAATTACAATGGAGTACAATATTTTCTTATGCAAGGAGAAAAAAAATGTTGAGATAGTCTTGGAAATTCTAATTCAAGCAATTACAATGGAGTACAATAGTTTCTTATGCAAAGATGAACAAATTTGTTAGCTTATTTGATTAGTACGAAGTATGATGTAATTAGGTCATCACTAGACTATGATCTAAACCAAAAGTGATCCAAACCAATCCAAAAATAACTCAGTATCACCAATTTTTATTCAAAGAATATGCTCACAAAGATTTGAACATAACAATCCAAGACCCAAATAATTGTGACTAGGGGTGAGCATAATAGGGTACTCTGTAAAAATTACAGGAACCGGAACCGGAACCTGTTGCAACAGGTTCCTCAAAATGGGAACTGGAACCGGAACCGGAACTGGAAATTGGGAACCGGAACCGAAACCTACAGGTTTCGGTTTTGATTCAGGGTACCCTGTATTATAATATACTCACTAACTTTTTCGCGGATTTTTTAATAAAAAACTGGTTGGTCACTAATTTATAATGTTTGCAACTTGCAAATAAGACAAACTAATAGTAGTTGTCTAACAAATTTAATATATATATTTTTATAATTGTAATTTTGATATTTATTATTTAAAAGTTGAGTAAGAATTAGTGTATAATTTGAAATTAAGTGATACTTTTATCAGGTACAGGGTATCCTACAGGTTATGATTCCAAAAAATTGAGAACCTAAACCAGAATCTGTTACAACAGATTCTCCAGTTTGCTACCCGGAACCGGAACCTCTTGTACAGGTTTCGGTTCCGGAACCTGAGGTTCCTAACAGGTTCCGGTTCCGATTCAGGGTACCCTGATTTTTTGCTCACCCCTAATTGTGACTGGACTAAAATTGAACAAAATGATTCATCATCTGAATATGATGTTCTACGTAATTAAATTACTCCATTTTAGACCTAGTCCAAACGACCACTATGCCAACTCTATATATGCTCAATCTTTTTCCATATTTACGTTTGTAAATCCCTAATTCTCTATCAGTTGGTTTTGTAGAAGTTAGAGACTATATCTAATTGATGATAAAAAGATATAGATATGCATGTTGTTTAGAAACTTCTTGAACATGGATTATTTATTCATTCTTATTACTCTTACATAAATAAATCCAAACTTAGAGGAGAAAAGACACATTTTGTTCACGAAATGATTTAGGTTAGGCAGGCATAACAACAACCCAATACTGTTTTCGCCGAGGCAGGATTTGGGAAGGCCTAGATGCAATCAGCCTTGTTTCTAACTATTCAGTTTACAAAAGATTAATACACTCCAATTTTTTTTGGCCAATGCCGGTATGGCAGTATGGTTCATCAAATCTACCAAATCTACGGTCAAAATTAGTATGTTTTAACCATTAAAGTCAAATGCGACCTATTATTTAAAGTCAAATGCGACCTATTATTTAAAGTCAAATGCGACCTATTATTTAAAGTCAAATGTCCCTAAAAATGACCAAAGTATAAAGCGAGTGTTGAATTCTCTGCACAAAGCATATCCAAAATAATGATCATAGGCCTCAGGTCTAAGATATATAACATATCAAATTTGACTATAAATTGATATACCATCAGATTGATACAAAGAACGAAAGAGGTAACTAAGTTAGCTCAGAAGATAAGCTAATGCTGCTGTAAAATACCTTCTTTGACCTGATGTGTTTAAGAGCGCTGTCAAGCTGATGCTCTAAATTTTGAAGTTCCTTCAGGTTCAAGGTATCAAGTTCTTCTCCCATGTAATGCCTGCAAAGATAAAAAGGCATGAACTTTTCGACGATAGGATGGTTTCTCCATAGAGCAGCATTTGTTCTGAAAACTTATTACCTGTGATTTTTCTGCAGAATCTCAAGCCTAGCCTTGAGCTTTGCATGCTCCAGAGTCCAGCTTACCTAAAAGTAGTAAGCATGATTTATCATCTGAAGCCCATTTATATGTGAAATCTCAACTATTATGTTTGGAACAAGGTAACTTCCATACATGGGAATCAGGATCAGGAGCAGTAAGCTGTCTTTCTGCATATGAGTATCTTTCGTAGCGCTCGAGGATCTTCTCCATGCTGCTCTTAGGTGAAACACCAACACAGACCAGGTCAACAACTTAAAAGAGATATACTTGACATCCAAAAACCATTTGAATGATATCAAAACTTATAGTCCAGTTTAATCATCTGATATCAAAACTTATATCCCAATTGTTGCTAATTTGTTGTTTGTATTTTTTGACTCGCTTGCTCTATATATGTATTCACAGTATGTTATGCAATGTGATTATAGGCTTGGATTGCTCATATAGATTTAAAAAAAAAAAAGGATTACATGTCAAACTGTCAAAGCGAAGTCTCATTTTTAAGTGTTAGGAAAACTGTTTCCTTGATTGTATTCAGTTTGAAGGTTATATAAAATGTAGTACTATTAGACTTAGCCCAATAATTACAAAAGCTGATTACACTTAATTACAATATAATTAAGCCCATTTATGTACATCAAATATTTCTTGATAGGGTGCAAAAGAGGGCAATACAAAGTACAACTAAGGGAGAGGGATTCTAATATGCGACCTATTGTACATAGGCCCTCACTGTTTGTCACTAGATTAAGACTTCATCGATACTTTGATCATGTTAGATATACATATTAAGGTTTTTTTTTTTTTTTTTTTTGAAGAAATACTTATTAAGCTAATTAAACTAAGTCAAGTTATTGGCCTTGATGATGCTTAAGTTTAAGTGAAATATAAATTTTAATTAATATAATTTTTTTATTAGTTTGATATTGCAACTATGTTCTGCTATCAATATTCAAGATCTTCATCACAAAGATCCGGTCTTTCTTTGAAATAATGGCATTAACATTCAAATAATGGCATTAACATTCAATTCTAATTGTAGTCTATGAACTATATTAATTTGTAAGATCTAAGATTAAATAGTGACAATTTTGTATTATTAAAAACAAAATTCTAATTGTAAAGTTTTTACTTTTGTATTATTCAATATTTAGCTTAACTTTCTTTATTATTGGCGGTATATACGAAGTACATAAGAAAAAAACACAATCATGTAGGATTTTGTTAAACATATTTTGTGCTATGTGAAAAGTCATTTATGTTTATTATTTTTAATTATTGATGACTGAAATCGCTAAATGATGAGTATAAAAAGGAAAGTGTTTAATTTAATAAATCGAGGAAATATATTTTAAACGTGATAAGGATGACTGTAGGGAGCTGAGAAATGATCTTTTGTACTTTGAGTTGCACTACTTGAGTCTTGGAACCCCAATTTAGAGTATGCAGATAGGATAATTTGATCAGTCAAAATTTGAGTTTAACATCTTGTAACTTCAATTTTTTCTGAGAAATGATCTTTTGTACTCCAATTTTAGCTGTATGTTACTATTGTTTTACATTGAAATCGGATTTACAACTATGGTCTTTCTCTCTCTTTTATTTATTTATTTTATTTTTTTGACACAATAGAACCATGATTAAGACTTATCATTACAGTTTTCCCAAAAAAAAAAAAAAAAAAAAAAAAAAAAAAAAAAAAAAAAGACTTATCATTAAACGACCGTGAAAATGAAATCGGTCTTACTTTAAGGCTTAACAGTTGTACTAGAGATGAAAATGAAATGACCTTGATCATTATATATTTTGATTGGGTATAAATTTTTATTTTAACAAGGTTATTTCATTAAGCATAGTTATATATGGAGATTTACATTAACTTTAACTAAATTTTATGATATAAAAAATTAATAATAATAATTTAAGCTGATCAGTTTTTTTTTTTGTTTTTTTTTTGAGAAAATTTAAGTTGATTATATATTATGGATGTATCAACTTTATTGTATTAAATTTTAACTAACTCATTTTTTTTTAACTAACTCATTGATTTCTTACAAAAACGATAAATAAATAAAATCCATATTATAAGAAAATTAAAGTTTCGACTTATTAATGAAAAAATGTTTTAATGTACTTATTTACAATTGGAAAGTGGATTTTAGTACCAATTATCTCCCCTTTTCTATGTCCATCTGAATTTTTTTCACTATTTTATCTGTCGTCGACTATGTGAATTTTTTTCACTAACTTTTATCTGTGGTTGACTATCATCGGATAACTCAGTTAGTGTTATAGGGGTTACTCGATTAGTGTTAAATGGGTTATACTATTATACCTATAGGGATTACTTAGTTAATAATATATATAAGGGTTACGCTGCCAGTGTTATAGTAGGGTTACTTTGTTATTTAATGGTTACTCAATAAATGTAATATACGGTTATTTTGTTACTACAATAGGGGTTACTATGTTGGGCTTAGTTCGCGTTTTACAAACGTCGCACGATTGTGACCAACCGCACATAAAATAAATAAATAAAAATAAAAATAAAGCTCGGTAATAAACGAAAATGTAGGTATTATTTGTATTACTCAAATATTTTCACTTAGAATTACTCTATCGATTAATTAAAATTCTGGCATGTTCTCTTCACCTTAAAAAATACTTCGTAAATATCAAGTGTTTCGGGGTTTTCTGATGTCCTGCGGGAGAGTTACAATTCCAGGACTGGTATCCTTGCGCCTGTACCTGCAAAACAACGGAGACTTCTTGTGGTGGGAGCTCCGCCTCCAACGGTCAACTTAGTACTTGTTTGAGGAGTGATAAATGCGGAAAGTAAAGGTGGGAGATCTGGTTCCTCTAGGGGAGGAGTGATCAATGTGTTTTGGTTTTCTCTAGGTGAGAGTCATTCTGCTGAATCCCCTTTAATGAGGATTAATTAAGTATTTATAGTCTTGAGAAGCGTGCCAATTTTAGGTTTAGGTTAACCAGGGCAAATTGGGCTTCTCTCGGACTTTGGGCCTTGGTGGCCATTTTGCCTATTTGGCATATGGGAGGCCACGTGGCGTGGCCTGATTAGTCCATGTTGGACCTCTTAGGGTGACAAATGGCGGACGCTGATTGGCCCACGTGGTGGACACGTGGCAGGTCCGGATTGGTCCATTTGTCATGGGTAATTTTTACCCTAAACATTTGCCCCTCGGAAGGAGTAATTTCTCTTTCCAGGAGGGATTGCTCCTTTCGAAAGTTAGACCCTCGAAGCTTTGCTAGGTCGGCATCTTGTCTAGTTCTAATGGGAGATGGACTTGATTAACTTAGAAAATTTTGATACCTTGGGCGGTATGACATTTTCAAAGTTAATCAATCATAATAATGATTGCCGCCGAACTAGACAAATGCCGATTCTTTGCCCCACTATGCAGATAGCCCCTGATCAGGTGGATTGTCAACTATTGCATAAGGGGTAAGCGTTTAGCATTATTCGGCCATTGGCCTCTTTTGATTCAATATACTAAGTTTGGTACTTAGTTTATTTCGTTGGGGGATGGCTGGTCGTCTGCTTTGGTGGCTGCATAGAAGCAGGCGTCAGACAGGACGTCCAACCAAAGTAGCTACGCCTGTTGGGTTACAGACGGCAGCTTTAAGTATAGCCAACCTCGTAAGAATAGTGGTCGAGTACCTCTGTTTACCAAAAAACAGGCGGACTCCTCATACCTTTTAGGTTCCGTACTAAGGAGGGCGACTGGTTAACCTTGCGGTTAGTCAATCACTGCCTATTTTGTTTGAGTGGTAGGGAAACCAGGCGGCGGGGGCCGGATAGTCCCCTTGATTCGCCAAGTTTTTTCTTGGCTATTAACTCAAAGGTTGTTAACCTAGCAGGAGTAGTGGTTGAGAGCCCCTGTTTGCTAAAAACAGGCGGGCGACTCATACCTTTTAGGCTCCATACTAAGTTTGAGATAGTGACTATGAGTTAACATGGGAGTTACTCAGTCTCCGTCACTCTCTAGCTTGAGTAGTAGAGGTACCAGACGGCGGAGGCCGGCTGATCCCCTTGATTCGCCAATGTTTGTTGGCTATTAGCCCAAGGAGTGGTTACCTAGTAGGAATAGGGGTTTGAGTGCCCCTGTTTGCCAAAAAACAGGCGGTCTACTCAAACCTTTTAGGTTCCATACCAAGTTTGAGGGAGTGCCTATTAGTTGACTTTGGTGTTACTCAGTCGCCGTCACTCCTGCTTGAGTAGTAAAGGTACCAGGAGGCGGAGGCCGGCTGAACCTTTTGATTCGCCAATGTTTGTTGGCTATTAACTCAAGAGGTACCCCCTGAATTTATCCCAAGTAATACAGGGGGTCATCCGACTCAGATGTCAACTACTACCACTGGTTTGGTTAGTGATAGAGTTATCCTTGTCTCAAAAACGGCTACGTGGTTGCCCTTGGGGACAGTCGTATAGGTGCCGTGTAATTAGTTTATAGAGCAATGTTCCACCCAAAAGGGAGCTGCTCTCTGCGACAAATTTCATCCGGAGGGATGCCGTCGGACGCCTGCTATGATGTTGGGACAGGTCGTATTAGTTTAAAAATTGGATCAGTTGGCTTGGCGCCTGGGCTGATCATCGGGCCTGTGGCCTTGGTTAGTTCTTGGCGAACGTAGGTGCTAAGTAAGAAGAGGGCAGCCGCTTGTTTAGGCACATGGTCGGCCTGGCCCTAATCTTTTTTAGCTAAGTATAAGGGGGGTGGCTGTGTGCTTTGGAACCAGTCGGCCCTCTTCTATGGAGAGTAGCCGACTATATGTCCAGACGGCATGCCCCTCTAGTGATAGAGTAAAGTAATCAAAGCAGAGAGTAGCCGACTATAGAGGTACCGCTGCTATACTCAATGGAGAGTAGCCGACTGTAAAGGTACATCGGCATGCCCCTCTGATGATATAGTGATATAATCAATGGAGAGTAGCCGACTGTAAAGGTACAGGCGGCATGCCCTTCTGAATTAGTATCAAGTATTGAAATAATTTCAAGTGTTAGAGTAGATAGATCACTTAGCTCCCTTCCATGGAGGATTGATGACTCTACTTTCTTCGAATGGGGACAGGTGGTCGTGCTAAACTTGTTAATGTGGTTTGCGACCTCGCTGCTCGGCCTACACATTTGCCGCCGGTCTTTAGCCCCTTAGTGAAATTAATGAGGGTCGACTGCTTTCATAGCTACGAGACTTC